TTCCGCCAGGGACGAATATACTCGGCACCTGTTTTCATGCTCGGCAATGGACCGTCCATCCTCCGGCTCTGAAAATCCGAAGCCGAGACAAACGGCTGCTATGAACGCAACGTCCGAGCCTGGCCTAGAAGACTCTTCATGACTTGGGCTCTAACTTGTTTGTCTTCATTCTTGCGGTCCAACGCGGGATTATGTCAATAGACCAGAAAGCGTAAACTCGCTCAGATGGCTGGCTCGCTGTGGGTTTTCGATGCCAGCGATAAGCCGATTCTTGCGAAAAGTGTGGCTGGCAAAAATCTGCCAATCTTCTTGTTTAGACCAGCCAAGGTCGAGTTGAGCCTCATAGACGGGAATAGCAATGAGGCGAATCACCAAAGCGTTCCCACTCGGGCCCCACTACACAATTTAAGGCTGAAAGCGTCAACACTTAGCCTTGCGGTATATCCACCCACGTCACAGCGCGTTCCAAGTGCGAAACAACCACGTTGTTGAGGCCTCGAGCAAGGGACGTTTACTAAGAACAGTGCGTTGTGGATCTAAGGAGAGCCTGAGGAGGAAGGTCGACGCGAAAGCCGTACACCACCAACGACGAAGCTGAAGCACTATTGACAAAACCTTCTGCCGCAAGTCGGGCTCTGGAAGAACCAACTATCTTCAGATAGTGCTCAGACCTTCTGCATGGCACAGCGCATCTCATCACAGTTGACGGCATCAACATACCGACATTTGTAGCATGCATCATCCATGGGACAGCATCACAAATAACCGCAGTAATCACGTTTCGGCAATATCCGCAATGCAACCGCGAAGGACCTGGTGATCATGATCGACCCGTTTACAGCATATCCACAACTGGATGGGGAACCCCAGCTCCAAGCGCCAGCTCACTGGTTTCGCCGAGAGCGAACAGTATCCCCACTTGGACCATGATAGCGATGGTCGAGACTCGTTGCATGAGTGCGCGTCCTTGTGTCAGCCATCTGGGATCAGTTTTGAGCATCAATTATGACGTTGCTGTGCAACACCTTCACCTAGGCTGCCGCCCTTCTTCTCTTATCAATCAAACTAGCACAAAAGTTCTTCTCGACGAGGTCATCGGCAGACCTGCCATGGTAGGTAAAAAACCAGTCACGATCTTGGAGACCGGCGGGTCCAAGAATGGAGCGTTCCTTCCATGCCAAAATTTGCCATCGTACGAACGTTGTTCGATATAACTTGCTTTCGGCTTTTTCGCACACAAGCATTCGGCCCTTTCGACGCTTTGATTTTTAGACCACGATGACCGTCCGAGATCGACGTTCGGGGCGGGACAATTGGCGCCCATACGTCCGTACTATTTGCTTCGAAATACCTCTGATTGCCCGCCTTTCAGCATGGATCCTGCACTCACGCATCGACCTCAACTTATCTGGAGTCAGTATTATGCTGAAAAAGCCACTAGTACCAATGCATGGTGTCGTTGGTGCTATTACACACCTACAGTTGCCAAAACCTGCACTCCAGCCTGCCTGGTCAGAAAGAGATATTAGTTGGAAGGAGGTGGGGGGAAGATGCTTCATGTGCAACACGTGCATCTTCAAACCAGGAAGGGATATGAGCCCACTATTTTGCTGCTCGTTGCAAGATGACCGATGCGTACTGTAACCTATCAAATCCTTCCCTGGTTCTAGCAGATTCTCGGTATATGCAATATCTCACATTCGTCTTCGAGCGCATCGTAGACAGTAAGGCGACAAATCACTTGCACCGTATCGCCATGAACAACCCAGAAACGACCGTACAGAACAGTGACTTTACGACGGCTCTACATTCGGCTGATCGGCGTCCGTGTGGCACCCCAGCCCTAATGTCCAACGTGTGCGCGAAGGAAGCGACCAAGAACGGGTGAACAACCTCGCTTCCGGGAGTAGTACACAGCTTTCGAATGTGTCGCATCGCATTTGTTCATTACAATATGCTCAACACGAACGGCAAGCGGCAATTGGAAGTTCTGCACAAGCAGGATTTTCAGTAACGTCATCGTGTGTTGAAGACAGGCCGAAAACGGGGTCGGCTACGAACGCACTTGGTGTTTTAGGCAATGACGGCAAGGCTGTGTTACCCTATCTGTACCCATGCTCGTTCTTGTTCAGTGTTCTTGCGAAGCGAAGGAAGAGGTGCCCCGCCACAGCGGTCCAAACTTTGGATCGGATTCCTTGGCCACAGCGAATCAACGGTTAGTAATGTGGTAAGACGACTATCGCAGAACATCGACGTGTAGATGCGGCTACGTCTAGACGTTTGAACTCGTGGAACACAGCCTGTTGACGCTTTCCACCAGGAGAAATATGGACAACGTGTTAATCTGTCGATCATCGATGAGGTCTGATACCTTTCGGCTTTACACCGCTAATTTCGGGACGTCATATTGTCAATCTCTGCACATGGCTTCGCAAGACACTCGGCCTCTAGCCACTACGACATACCACGTGCTCAACCATTACATCTTCACAACGATCGATCACCCCTTGTTTAGTTCGCAGGTACTAGGACCGTTTTTCAAATATCACGCAGCATTACCATGTTTACGTGACCAATGGCAGATCTCTGCCTAAACGAACGTTTCTCGGCGACATGCTCCGGCGACGGGATAGTAACAATAATTCATACAACTCAGAGTCAGAACAACGTCACTGAAAAATTCCTTGAGTTCACCGATACGGAAACTGATCCCAGCCACTCAGCTTACATTGACCATTATGGTCTCAGGTGTGGAGAAAGATACATGATCTCCAGACTAAGATTCCACCTAAGCAGTAGAGCTCCACTTCACGTCCGGAACCTGGGTTTGACATGATGCAGTCAGAACTTTGATCTGCGACATACTGGAGTAACATGCAAGTCAGATAAGACGGCGAGGATGACCGCTGCTCGCAACATACTTGCGTCATTTTTGTAACTCGGTATGACAAGCAAAGTGATGAGATGAAATGGCAGCCATGAACGACGCTCACCTTTGTGGGTATCGCATACTTTGGAGATACATGACAGGCGTGTTCGAAACGACAATCTCCGCAAGGCATACGCATAAAGCAATGCAAGAAGTATGTAGAGACAACGTTGATCAACTGTACTTTGAATTACTTTCCTTCAACCATTATAGACATCTGTAAATTTCACTGTCACAGTCACAAAAAAAATTCATCCGCTTAGCCATGTCAGAGCAAACCCCACAATCTAAATCAATAGCTTATGATAGAAGCTTATCTATGCCCTCCTCTTCATTCCCTCTTGTTAGAGATAAAGAAAGGGCTTGAAACCCCGCGCAGGTCAGCTTACATACGCCCTCTCCCCACTCTTACACTTCCCACAAGAAACACCGTGAACCAATCAGCCGTAAACACCTCACGATAAGCGAGACCGAGACCGATGAAAGCTTGGGTCCAGGCCCCCTATTTCTTTTCTCCCTAAACTTCCCCGCTGGTGCACAGGGTGACAAGTCCTAATCCGCAGCTTTATCTTTTTGAGACATGACACAGTTGCGTGGAATTCATGACATGGCTAGAGTTGCAAAACAGGAGTATTGTGGCTGCTGAGTAGTAGGTGGGGTAGGTAGGTAGGTTGGAAGATTGTAAGTTGTTAGCTTAGGCACCCAACTTTTTCTTGGTCAGGCCAAGCGGTGTGTATCGTGTCTGGGTTGAGTTGATATGGTAGGAGATGGGGGCGGGGGGCATATCCATGTCATGTGAATTTCCAATCAATTATCTCTACCTAGCCTAGCGCCTAAAAACGACAGTAAAATGGATTCGCAACGTCTTAACAGTTTAGCGCGTAGATGTGGGTTGCAGAGAAATACCCGTTGGGGTACAAGACAACTAGGTAGACAAGCATAAATTTCTTCGTACGAAAAGCGGACCGTGACAGATATATTGATGACCGAGTTTTCCCGAAACAATTCTTCTGCCCGTGAGTCAGAACCTGAGCAAGTAAAACAGTCAATTAGTACACTGAAACAAATCCATTGTGCTTACTAAGAAATAAAGAGAGGAGGGAATGCGAGATAATCCGGGGTAATGTGGATACTGGATACGCGCTGTACGCCAAAACGACTGCATTTTGGGCGAACATGTTGTTGACTAAACGTGGTGGATCTTGTCCGAGAATCTAGACCTACGGGGGCGGAGCGACGTCGGGAGCCATCGGATCAAGTAAGCCCTAATGTACGGCCGTAGTTGTGTTTCGGAAGGAGAGAGAGAGAGAGACGGAGACACAGTACTCCCTTTGCATACAGATGATCCGAGTTCTACTCTAGAGGCATACATTGTGTTCTATTCTGGAAGCGCTTTACTTGAGAATCCAGCGGATACCTTCAGGGCACCTGTTGGCCTGCGGTACAAAGAAACCCCGACCTTGTTTGTAGTGCCAAGCGGTAGGCAAATGAGAATAGCATCACCGAAGACGAATACGGAAGCCAAATAGACAGCGAAGAATGTGAGTCTAAAATTACCAATATTGAAGGCGAAATGCAGACCACGTTGCTTTCGCTCTGCTTACCGCCGTGTCCGAAACCAAACCGACCCAATCCAAGGGGTATTTCGCAACGCTATGCTTCCCGCTTCCCTAGAGAAAAAACCACACAATTAAACTCTATCCAGAGTATCCCAGTATACAAACATAAAGCCAATAACCAAGACCGAAGTAATGCCCATTGTCCACATAAGGATATGGCGACAGCTGCATACGTACAAAGGCAGAAGACGCGAACCTAGCAAGGTGATTTCGGGGCATGTGCGACGGTAAAGAGGAGGTGGATCGTTTGCTTCAAGATCGAGAGCGCCGTCCTGCTGTTCGATATCGCCATGCGCATCCGCATTCTCAACTCCTGCAACCACGAGTGGAGCTGGAGCGCCAGGACCAGTAGGCGGAGCAACATCGAACGTATGATATGAATGCACAATTGGAGTCAGACCCTGTGGCGACACCTTCGTGTGCGGTTGGCGTGGAGCTCTTGGTAAAAACCACTAAGTCTTGCCCTTCTCGTACTCCAAGTCGGCCTCCTGAAGTTCGGCTTCCAACTGTGCGCGTGCATCCGGCGCTGGCGAGCTGGATGCACCTCGTGAACTTGGTGGTCGTGATGCTAGTAGCGGGAGCTGGAGGCTTTCGGCGGCTTCGCTGTTGTGTATCGACTTCTGGCGCTTGAGGGCGGGTTGCTCGCTGTCAGAAGTAGAAGTAGCCGCTGCGCTGACGAGACCGAGTCGATTCGCTTCGTCAGGATGCTGAGTGATCCATCGTTCGCACCACTGCTCGCGTAGAACATTGTAGATGAACTGGAATTGAACCTTGGATTGAACCATACCAGCTCGCTGATCCCTGAGGTTCTCCACAACCTTTAATATGGGGTCTTCGTTATCTGGTACATCGTCCAATGCGCCCTCTTCAAGCTCCTGCATGAGCCAATCGAGCGCAATAAAGGTTCCACTGCGACCAATACCTGCGCTGCAGTGGACAATGCGGGGGTTGATCGAGTTGTCGGTGTTCTTGGATCGCGATATGTCCACTAGCTTCAGCATACCAGCGCGATCATCGCCTTCTGGCACAGAGAAATCCGGCCAGCCAGCGAAGAGCAGATGCCAGATCTTCCTCGACTCGCTACCGTCATCTGTTGTCATGTCGATTTCCCGTACTTGCGTCCTGGCCTCATCATCTATTGTGTACGACGCCAAGTGGAGGTTGTGTATGAAGCCGTCTTGAAACTCGTCGTGCTCGTTGATGCGCATATCCGGATTCGACAGCGATTGCGGGTAGTAAGGGTAGCATTTCTCTCGGTTCGCCTCGTGGGTCTGGGTCAGCATTACAATGACTGCGGGCGACTGGTTCTCCTTCCATATCATGCGCCAGATATGCGACCAGCTGTCGGCTTTGGGTCCTTGGGTTGCAATGTACTTGAGTTCCGTCCCGGATTTGGTCGTCTGGAGTATTATTGGCGAGGCATTGATGTAGTCGAAATGGCCCTCTGGCACCTCAAGGTGCACTCTGTTGGACTGGTATGGGTCGACGTTGATGTAGCGATTGCGGATGGCATAGTCTTCCCCAAAACACCTTGCCCACTTGGCAGCCTCTTCAGACGCATTCGCCTGGGCGCTATCCCTCAAGCGCTCCATCTGCGCCATCTCCAAACCATTCCATTTAGTCTGAATGTCCTTGGCCGATGTTAAGAAAGCGGGATATGGGATCGCATCTTGGGCGTGTGCATCGCCTGTAGTAGGGGTACTTGTAATGGATGAGGGGATGATGAGACTATTCGTGCTTGCAGAGGGAGTGTTGGCGGCGGGAGTGTTGAGAGACGAGGTGGTAATTGATCGCGTGCTGTCCTTGCTACGGGAGCGCTTGGACGACGAGGGGGAGATGGGGACGCCGGCCTGAGCCATGGCTGGGTCGGTCCTGATGAGGACGCCCTTGAGCTTCGCCTTGCGCCGGAGGGCGCGGAGTTTATGCAGCTTGAAGAAGTTGCTGTCGGATCCGGGGAGGGATTCGGGACCTGGCAGTGGAGGAACAAGAAAGTTTGACGACGGAATGGTGACGGGAGGCGGTTAGGTGCAGGTCGTGGCGTGCCCAAGAAAGGAACGATAGGCTAGATAGTGGAGTGCCGCCAGATGTTATGCCTCCACTGACACGTGTGCGACTAGTCGTGGGGGTCCGGGGCCTTGCCAGATTGATGTTTAGCGATGGAGCGAGGCGTATAGCAATACGCTGGGTGACGGTGGACGATTGTGCAGCAGCCGGCAGGAGTGTTGATGATTTGACTTTGGGCGCGCCTCGACGTCGTTGTATACAGTAAAGCCGATTGTACAACTGTGCAGCCAACCGCTTCAAGTGCCCAAGAACCAGGTCGAGCAACAGATGGTCTAGATGAGGGGCTACTATGGTATACGCGAGTCTCGTAGTGGAGCAGCTGGCGCGGGTCGCAGGTAGGTCGGGGCGCTGTCGAGTAGGCGGCTCGTGCAACAGAACAAGGCGAACGTCTGGCTCAGCGACAAGTAGAGAAATGCAACTGCGGGAGAGAAAAAGAAGATATCTCGAGCGCGAGGAGCTGTGTGATGACGGAAGAAATAATTGTTGGAGCGAGGATCCACTCCAAACGCCAGGCGCGGTCGCGTCACAACTGCTGGCAGGCCCAGTCCCTGTTTGTTTGGTTGTTTCCGCCCTGCGTTCCGAGGCTTCTCCATCAATCGTCCATCACCCACACGCACCCTCGCCACCACCCCTCCACCAGCGCAACGTCTGCACACACACACCTGCTATCTCGCCGTAGCAGCTGCTAACACCTGTGAATGACTTATTGAACACGTTATGGGTGCACCTTGGTTCGCTCTCTTCGAGGTATGTGCCGTGCCCAAACGAAACAGACATGCCAAACTGACAGCTCGGTACAGGCTTGGGCTGTCGCAAAGGCACGTCGATAATCCTTCCATATACACCCACCGCCCTGGTCACTGACTCTTCCAAGCTCATCCGATCCCCGGGATTCAATCGCGCTGTGCAAAAAGCCTATCGAAAGATCAACAGGCTGCCGGACTTTGAACAGAAGAATGGCGGAGGCAGTATGTCTTTTCACCATATGATCAAAACTTCGAGTCCTGACACATTCTAGGAACGGGCCCGTCGTCGCTCGACCACTTCAAAGACGAAGTGAAGAACCAGTTTCGCGAGCTCACTTGGCAAAAGCGTCCTCCCAAGTGAAGATGCCTTCGATTCACGTCGTCCGCCCCACTCCTCTCAACCCATACATACGAAACGCATGACGGTTACATTGCATTCCTCACGGCACGTGACAGCTGTCACGGCATGATCTCCTACTACCACGGTCAAACATCCTGCGACAAACACAGCCTACGAAACACGCAAATGACGACGTGGATTCAGAACAAGGAGGTAGTAGGGAGCAAGACATACGTCTGCTGGACACGCGGCTTCACACAATATGTGTGTATACTGCTGATGATCTTGTGCTTTCGCCACACTACATGTGCACGGGTTGTAGTGGAATTGTCTTGTTCTAGCCCGAGAAAAGCCACTACGAGTCTCTGGGAGATATGGGCTACAGGAGAGATACTTTCCATATGATGGCTGAGGCATCGAGTATGCGAATGCTACTATCACGTATCGGCACAGTCTTGGGTACATCATGCTATCTGTTACTGTTACGCTTTCTGAATGGGACGAAATCAATCAAAACTTCCAACACACTCTCCCTACATTGTTGTGTATCCTCGCTCGATTCAAGTCACTGCAAAGCGCCTATTGAGCACCCTATACAGTGGTTGAGAAGTCTCTGAGCAGATCAAGGGGGCTGGTGTTTTGCCAGAGGCTTAGCTGGGCTAGCTGGTTGGGTGACAGCTATGATGACAAGCATGAGACGACGTCTATAATATTTACTCATATCTTGTTTTGTTCTTGCAACAATGGGCATCTCGGCCATGTACTTCTCATTGCCTTCGGTCCGACCTCCTAGAATACAGCGCCTCCTATGATGAACACCCTCTCCTCTTCTCGTCGTACCCATTGAATAACCTTATTCGCACTCTGCGCCAGCGCTGCCCTCGACGTGTTCGCTGGCGCGACAGCATATAGTTCAAACAGTGGTGTACTCCACGCTAACGCTATGCATGTTGTGTTTGTCTCATGATGCACCTTGAGCGTCGACGGTTTGCTGTGCAAGTTACTATGGAGCTTGTTATAGAGGTCGATCAATCTATACAGAAGAATATTAGTAAGCCATATGGATAACAGGAAACAACAACAGCGAATCATACAAAGCGTGAGCATGCTTGGGGAGGATAGTGCGTGATCACAAGGGCAATGGTCCACTTACCGTCTCTTTTCCAAATCGCCTTCAAAATATGGTTTGTAACTCGGCATGGTAAACTGTACGTTGCCCCTCGACTTGTACAAAAAGTGCCTCAGCGGACTCCCGGGCACGATATCCGTGCAAGTGGGACGCCCCTGCTGGACCGCTGTGCGTATAGCTTCAATGGATCCATTGCGCTGCAAGTTCTGCGGAAGTACCCGTTAGCCCTAAATCCGACCGACTAGTGCAACTTTCTGTGCACTTCTCTTCTCATAAATGACCCTGGTCGAATGTGAACCAGACAAGCGGTACGGCCGAAAGGCCGAGGGGATGTGATAATCGGGGCCAAGGCATGGGTATACGGAACCCGAGGCGGAGGTACGATAAGGAGCATCGGAGTTGCTGACGTCCGAAGCCGAAGAGCAAAGTTGGCCCGTTAAGCCTTGTACGGATGTACGATTTACGCGTACCGGCAATAAACCCAGGAAGAACCCATGGGAGAACACCGAAAATGGGGAGGGATTTTTGCTTCCGAGTCCGTACGAGCCCACATGGTTCAATGCAATAATCTCAAGACACGGGATAATGTCCTGGGGGGTGGCGGTACAGAGGCCACTTGACCAACGATCCACGCGTCCTGACAAATTATCCCGGTATCATGGGCATTAAGGAGACTTTGTAAAGGAGTGTAAGGAAAGTGGGTAAGCCTACCTCGACTAAATCATCCCTCATACGTCTAAGCTCGAAGAAGCTTTCCTTCTCCGCACTAATTAGGAGGACCGCGACTTCATCATCCGCGCCGTCGCTCGTGCGAGGGCGCTCTTGCATCTGTTCTGTAGGGTGTTCTAGATTGAGGAAGCTGACGTACATGTACAAGTAGCCGGTGTTGTTGAAACCTGGTAAACATAGTGGGATCCAGTTTTCTCCACCTCCAGCCTTGACGCTACCAGCTTCGAAGAGCATGTTGAAGATCAGGTGGAGATCGCCAGGATGTAGACTGTGTTTCTTGGGCCGGACGACGGACACGAGCTTCCCAGATGCTACCAAGAGACCATAGAGCAGATTCTCTGAGCGGGTCTTCAAGAGGGTGTTGTTGATTGTGGCGCGGTGGGATTTGCGAAGCTTAAGACACTCGAGAGCGGAGAGCAACGTCGACGGCGAGCCTCTTGTGAAGCCATCTGCAAGCGCCGATAACAGTGTCTCTGTGCCCTGCAGTGGCCTGCGAAGATCGTAGTTGGCGCGCGCAGCAAACATGCGCTCCATACTAGGAAGGGTAAGTGTGGATAAGATCTGCATGTAGAGTGCTTCCAGCTGCGACCGAAGCTGAGAGTCGCTCTCTGGCAAACGCGTGATAGCGACCAGGTTGAGCGGACCCTTGGACATGACGACGAAGCGTACATGTCCCGCTGTGAAACCTCTCAATGTGTCGTTTGTGGACTGGTAAAAGGATATGATGGTCTGCACAACACCAATGTAGTTTGTGATGAGTTGGTCGTCACCGTGCCGGCTGTATATAGGCTTTCCGGCACTCGAGAGGATGAGAAAATGCTTCAGCTTTGCGCGCCACTGTTGCATTACCGCTTCTATTGACTACATCAGCAAGAGCTACCTCTAGGTACATGCCGTGCGTCTGACCTTCGTTTGATCCATCCACAGCCATGTCGTCGACCTCGTCAAACTCGCAATGGAAAGCCCTTTCAAAGTATGGATCCGGTGGGAACATGCTTTGCGCTTCTGCATCAACGAATCTGTGGCCTAATGTCCTAAGCAGCGACTTCTCTTGCTCTGACTTCTCTGCCTGGCCCATGACTTCGCCCAGTATGCTCTCCTGGTATCCTGCTGCCTCTATTGTTGGCGCATAACTGCGTATGCTCGCACTATCGTCGGCATCGCTGAGATTATGAGATGCTAGGTTTGCGCCTAGGACGTCGCGCGACTTGGGCCCGGAGGATGTTGGCGACTCATCCTTCGCTTCTGTAGCAAACGCCTGTGTCCTCGCTACAGACAGCTGTGTAGTAGCTTTGGAGAGGAGCTGCGGTCTGCCGGGCGCCGTAGAATGCGATGTCGAGGGTCGCGAGAGTAAACCGAGTGCGGGTCGTGGTGGCAGCGGCGGTGGAGTTTCTTCTTTCGATACCAATGAGCTTACAGACGTGCTGTGCGAGAAGCTCCGTATTATACTGAGGGTCGGGTTGGCAAAGTCCTGCTGGTCAATCGGCTCCTCCCTGGTCGACGTGACCGAAGCATTGCTATTGCTGCTCTTCTGCGTCGGTGTGGTGGGCGAGCTGGGCCCCTCAGAGATCGGCGTCTGGGGCTCAGCGTTCCCAGTCTCGGCCATCAAGACAGCGGTCGAGGGTCATCCAGACAACGGGTCGGTGTTTGTTATGACATGGCGCGTCAACAGAAGCGTGCATGTCGCGAAGCTGTGTGATCGTGACGTTTACCCAGGTAATCCATCACGCATGGGCCAATGACGTTGCTGCACTACCTAACTATCATCGATACCGAATGATCGACTCGAGGCTTGTCTGACTACCATCTTGCTTCTAGAGCGACATGTGCATGACATGCACGGGAGTACATCGTCCCTAGCATATGCACACCTCACACATGTGCTTGTTGTTCACCGGACCCCACAAATAGCTCCTATATGCACGTCTCACCCACCATGCCCCTTCCTGAGCTCTGATGTACTTCACCGACAACATCACTACCACCATTGCTGACCCATCTTCCGCTTGGCCTTGAATCCTTCTTGCCACTGTCTTCTCGTTCCTCGCTACACGCATTCCAGCGCTGACGCATTTTCGCCTCGTCTCGTACTCAGCTGTGTCGACGTAGTTTTACTATTCTTAGCAAAACTAGGCGCACTGCGCTTCCTCATCCGGCACCTCATAGGACTACCATAAAGTGTGCTTGGCACTGCATTCGTAGTGAGAGTAGCGGTATGCATCATGACCTATTAACAGCCTCGTGTTTGGGCGATTTGACGAAAAAGTAAGGAAGTGAGCCGAATTCTATCAACGCGTGCCTTGCGTACATTCCTTTGAGTTGGGCCGCAACATTGTGTTGCAGCGACGGAGGTTTAAGTTCAGTCAACAATGTCGGATTTCATCTCCACACATATCTTCTCCACGCTTCTTGTCTAGCCGATGCTATGTACCGAAGTCCAAACCAACCAATGCCACATCTGTCAACACCACACGACATAACGACGATCAACTACACATTGGAGTGGCCCCATCTCGAGAATCCCAGCAACACTACCTTTGTCGGACCAACACAGATAGACATCTGTCGCTGTCCCAGACCCGATCTTCCACCACAAGACGATAGGGAACCAGGCCACATATATACTCGGAACAAATGCGCGGGCCCCGACGTCATCTTCAAAACTGGAGAAGGAGAGCTATGGGTGCTGCAAGCCCCTCATGGGCCAATCAACATGTTACGACCTGCAACAAAAGAGGAGAAGGAACGACGGAATGAGATCCATGACGATGCAGAGCCGACAGCGTATGAAGGTCGGAATTTCCTCTTCTTAACAGGCCCTTGCCCACGGGGACGGTATCAGGCATATGCTACCCATAAGTGGCTGGAAAGCATCAGTGTATCAGCTCGCCAACATGTCTCGCGTCTGTCCCTTCTAGTCCAACCCTATGAGGAAGATGCTTTCGACGCTGCAACCAGAAGAGCATACTCGGAGCTAAGCAAATACATTTTACAGTATTTACCAGGGTTCAAAACGCTGTGTCTCAATATCTGGGATGATGAGATGAGACTTTACAGTGCGGCGCGCGAGTTCAGTATCCTTTTGCACAGAGATGGTATCAAGCTTATCGTCCGATGCAACTGGTGGGGTGGAGAGTCCAGAGAATACAACAATGCTGGAGCATTCTTAGAAGCCATGACTACAGTAACACGAACAAGACGCAGGCAGACGTTCAGTGAGGAAATGCAGGATGATGACACTGGAGAGGACAACCTGAATGAACAAGACGAGGCTCATGAGGCTTTACACAAAAAGCTCGGCATGACAGGAGATGACAGAAAGAGAAATGATGAGGTTCAGGAAGCGTTGAATTCCTTTTCAGTCGTCAAATCCGATACCGAAGATGGGCATGAATCTGAAGATGATTGGACCGACGCGGCGATGAGTCCTATGGAGACTGAGAAAGACTGGCAGATACTATAACAAATGTATCTGGTATCATACAAGGCTGTATACTAATACTAGACGGTGAACACATCCTCGCTGAACACCATCATCACTCCCAATCACCGAATGAAGCCTTTCCGTTACCATTGGTATGCTTTTGCATCTCTGCACTTGCATCTTAGTCCACATTCGTCTTTGAATCCGCACACTCATGATGATCCACCTCTATACTCTTGACAACCTCTTCGGGCTCAGGAGGCTCGTGGTAGTGCCGTGAATTGATATGACCAGGAGTCCAGCCAAGATTTCCCACACCATCGACTCTCATTTCCGCAAATCTAAGAGAGAGATCGCCGAAGAAAACAATATCAACGCACTGGTACTGGCATGGTCTGCTCATTCTCTCGAGACAGTACCTACAATATTTGGATCATCAGCCTTTGTTTAACATGTGGGTCGCGCATCAGGGTTGCATACTCGGGACTGTATGCCCACATGTCTATAAGAAGACGGCGCATCGCATGGCTCTCGGTCATTCTGTACATGAAAATAACGTCCTCCTCCAAAGGAATGACTTTGAAGAAGCCTCGAGGATTGCCCTCATGTGTTTCCTGGGCCGTCGATGGGTAGCGTGGAAGGTGGGTGGACTTTGGGTAGTAGAGTCTATATATTGATGTACCAAGTCAGTCTACGCGTGGAATGCATCTCGTACAAGAGTATCGCTTACAAGGACTGCTTCACAATAGTATTAATGATCTTATTCTTTGACCTTGTGTCTCGCAGTTGTTCAGAAAGTTTGAAGAGCTTGAAAAGCTTCCGGTAGATAGCACTGATAGGCGGTGGTTCTGGATAACCCGGCTGTCGAGCGATCGCCTCTCCAGGGCTCCAGTTGCCTAGTTTTCCGGTCCAATCAGTCCACGTATTCAGCAGGGTGTAGAGATATATGCCTCACTAATGAGCCGTTCGCCAATGTCGATCGTCTCCGTACCTATAGCTATGGCCCAAAAGGAGAATGAATCGGTGTCGTTGTTTTCCAGCTCAATTGTTGTCTGGGTGATGCCGGAAATGCGTACTTCCTGGCGCTGGGCCAAAATATCATGAAACAAGCGGTTTCGGGAGCAGAGCATGGCCCTGTGGAATGCGTATGTATTTCGTATGCCTCTGCCTTTGTCCCTTACAACTACGCGTACAAAACCGTCAGAGCAACTAGATACATGTCAGCTTCGACGACTCAACTCGTACTGGGTACGCATGACTTACTTATTGCCAAAATTGACACATCGCTAATATTCATCTTTGTTAAGGTATGCTTGCTGTCGGCTGGGAGCTCCCTGACGGTGGATGTTTCGATGCGAGTCCCAACAGCTAGAATCTCCAACAACAGCATAGCAGCCGCTGGTACGAGCATGGTCACTCCCATTGTGGGTTACCTTCTGTAGCAGGCATGGAGAAGGCCGAGAAGTAGCCTCCGTCGCAATACTCTGGCAATAGCGACACAGAAACACCAAATATCATACACGCTACAAACATTGTGGGATAAGGATATGGCTGTGAAACTTGGGATATATGTTTATGAATGGCAAACAATGTTTATGTCAGCCTGCTATTTAGGTCCGCTTATTTGCTACGTACCGGGATACCTAACTCTACTAGGCTCCCTACACCCTTAACTCAGGATGTGAGCCTAAACATCGGATGGTCATCACCCAAGTTATCAGCATCCACTTCTTGCAGCCTTCCATCCCTCTCACCCCTCTCCCTCTTCGCATTCTCCCATTTGACCAAGAAGAAGAGCGCCGTGCAAGCGGCACCACAAATCCACAGCATACCCAAACTAACTCCATATCCCGTCCGGTAGGTTGGCATTTCACTCTGCAGAAAGACATTGCTCGCCACGATACCTCCCAGGTTTCCGAACCCGACTTGCATCGCGGAACTGACGGAACGCTTGTAGTGTCCAGACACAAGATTTGACATCCAAACGAGCACGATAGGCTGAGTAATGTAACCACCAGGTACGATGAGGAAGAGGGCAAAGTACTTTACGCCAGCTGAGAGATTTTCTTGCGCGAGGAGCATAATGTAACCGATCGATGCAACGACAAGACCGAAGATGCAGAACCAGTAGCGATGGCGGAGGCGGTCGGTTAACCATGCTGTTATGACTGCAGTGATGGTTGCTACAACAAAGATGGGTATGGATCGTACTTGGGCCGCGGCGGAAGTGTAACCGAGTTCTTTGACGATGGTTGGGGTGAAGAACGACCCTGCGTATCCCGTGTTGACAATACCTAACACGCGGAAGCGTATAGTCAGCAAATGCCTGTGATCATGAGTGGAAAGGGAAGCAAAGTTTCTTACCGAAGTATGCAGCGGTCCCTAGATAAATTTTAGGGTCAGAGAAGATCCTCTTCGCCGCCTTCTTGTCCAATCTATTCATCACAGCATCACCGGTATCGGCGCTGAGTCGTGCTATGAGAAGGGCTCGCTCTTCGTCGTTGAGAAACTTCGCCTCCTCGGGCCAGTCCGTGACCCAGAACTTCGTAATGACACCAGCCGCAACAGTTACGATGCCTTCGATAATGAAGATCCATCGCCTGAAGCATTGATGTGCATAGTCAGTGATTGTCTCACATGCAGTTGGTAGATCGGCGTTCTTACCACCCTCCGTAGCCTGCGATGCCGTCCATCTTAGCAATAGCGAATGCGAGGAGCTGAGAGGTGTAAGTAAGAGTCATTAGTTGACGTGAGTATACTTACGCCGCCAAATGCACCAGCGATGATGCTCGCAGTAAAGAATAGTGTGAGGCGCCACTGGAGTTCATAACGCTTATAGTACATCGAGATGAGGTATACGCAACCTGTTCAAAATTAGTCTAGATAACTCATATCTTCATTGCCACATACCGGGAAACAATCCAGCTTCAAAGAAGCCTAGGAGGATGCGCATGGCTACCAGGCCCTCGAAGTTGTTCACGAGCCCCATCCCGACGGTTGAGACACCTGGTGTTCATCAGCATGGCAAACGTATGATGATATCCGAAACTCACCCCAGAGTACCATGATCAAGCTGAGCCATGTTGAAGGCTTGAGTTTCTTCAAGATTAGGTTTGACGGCACCTCGAAGAGGATGTAGGGAACGAAGAATATGAACAAGGCGATATTATAGCGATAAGCCAGCGGACCTGTCATGTCGAGGTCTTCGACCAGCCCCTGTATCCTCGCATTGCCTAAACCACCTTAGCGTAGTGAACATACTACTAGAATAGAACCAATGTACCAATGTTGACACGGTCCAGAAACGCTAAGAGGAATAGAAGAAACAGAGGTGGAAGAACGCGAAGGTCGCACTTGCGAAGTAGCTTCTTCTCGGCGATTGGGTCGATATTGTTTCCATGTGTATCATTAACGACTTCGATCTTATCCTCTGGCAAACTCGATGGTTTCATCGCCGGATACGCCATGGTCGTTTTCGTAGCGAACGCGGCGCTTGCTAGGCGTCTGAGCTGCAGAATATATAGTACAATTGTTCGTGTGACAGCCGCTCTGTAGCTGCATATGGTTCCTCTTACATCAGTAAGGGTGGATGAGGCTTGATGGTTGTGACCAATCAGATGAGGTCGCCGTTGGCCGAGCTGCACACCCGGTGAACGGCCACGTTTCCGCGTTTGCGGGGAAATCCTGGAAGCAGGCGTAATTCATGGAATAGTGCCGCACGTTTTCCGCTGGTAGCCAAAGGAAAAGTAACGATCCACAAGAGTGGTGACTAGCTTTGCATGACTTGAGAGGTTGGTAGGTTGAGCGACAAAGCAAATAGTCATGACGCAGTTCCGGCCACACTCACAATAGGCGCGATATGTGTATACCACTTTTTGGATCCTGTACGATGCACTGCTCTTTCCCGACATTTGGAAAGCATTGAGTCATGCATTTCGTCAGCCTGAGCCAGATGTCGTACCAAACCCGTCACAGAGAGTAGCCAATTTTACCAAAGCTTCAACGACCACTCCTAAATAAAGTGATGCTGACCACATGCCTACATTTATCTCTATAACAATTTATCTGGTCTGAACTTGAAACGATGAGATTGAGAAGGTGTGATCGACGACTATAGTAATGAAGGATGCACGATCAAGGGCAGCGTTAGGTAGCTGGGACGAACGACAAACAGAAATGGATATGAGAACTACAAACGTAGGTATTCCTCAAGATCCCGATAATATGTTTGGACACATGTCCTATTCACCGATATTACCTACAAACGAGACGTATGTCTGCTAATTACGATCTCTCTGGTGTGCGTAGGAGTAATGTCGGGAAGCGATGCGACGGCCGTGCAAAGTCGAACAAGGCCAGTTCGTAATCTCTCCTTTTGAGAGACCCGTGATGGCTTTTCCGGTACTGCTGGAAAGGGTTGAACATATCTTGAATGTGGTGATGGTGATGGTGCATAAGCCCCTGGCCATGCCTTTGCACATCTCCCCGCAAACCGCGCTAAGGCACTAGCGCGAGGTCCTACTCGCTTACACACACCACAGAGCAAATTCGAGTTCCCAGTTCCGACATCAGCTCTTCGACAATACCACACAGCCAAATCGACACCCACAACCGTCGCCATGGCCAGTACGTCTACAATAGCTCACGATTAACACCGCTAGGATACTAACGAAAGTGCGCAGAATCCAAGAACTCGTCCCAGCACAACCAGTCCAAGAAGAACCACCGAAACGGGTACGCATCACCCTCCTCCATCGCACGCGCCGTCAATCCGCGGATAGTTCATCTGCAACGCGAACGATTGTGGATGCATAGTTGAGAACAGAAGCTGATACAATGGCAATGCAGTATCAAGAAGCCTAAGACCCACCGTTACCCCTCGCTCAAGGGAACCGACCCCAAGTTCAGGAGGAACCACAGGCATGCTCTTCACGGCACCATGCGCGCTCTGGTGCGTACCGACGACCCCATACCACACGGGAACACGACCCGCTAACAACCATATAGAAGGAGGTCAAGGAGGGCAAGCGCGACTCGGCATAAAGGACGATACGATTACGAGCGAGCGACGATGGCGGTTTTCGATTCCTTTATGAGACATCTGGTCGGCGTCAATGGCATTCGGACTTTATGTGACAGCTTCGAACTCAAGGGATTGGAGCACGCGGCTTCACGCCTACCGCAGGCATGAAATGTGGCAATGAAATAAGTCGAAAAGTCAGGTCGGTTCCACCAGCGCGCGACTGTCCAAGTGATGTGTTAGGCCGTTTGACCGTTCGCAACGTCTTGAGGTAAGTGAGAGAAATCAACGAGGTGCAAACCTCAACCCAGCCATTAGTGTGTACAGCAACAGAGCTCTTCCATGCTCGACCTGCTGAAGGAAAATCTATCGTGGCAAGAACAATCATCCCCATCATTACCAAACACACGACCTTTTACCCCGTAAGGTACGTGTGCATGAAGATGGGGTTACATACCCACTGTTGAATCAGAGCCTCGGAACTCTCAGTGCATCTCTTAGAGAGGTAGTGCAGTCAGTACCTTGGAAGATAGTATACATTTAGCTCTATCACAATGAATAACATCTTCCTTTCTAGATTGTGCATAGCCCTTTGCTCAGATGATGACCATTCTCCAACGTACCAATCGACGAACTGGCGGGGTTAGTCTCGGAACCTCAACATCTCTGTCAATACTGCCTCTAGCCATCACATCGACTCCTGGAGTTGGTGCGAGAGCGTTGACGACTGCCAAACATCGACAAACGTTCTCGACGCTCTTGGACATTTCGCCGCGGAAGCAAGCCGGCCGAGACGTTCCGGTTCCTGACGTTACTGCACAGCCCTGCCGCAACCCGATCCTATCAGCTAGCAGCCCTACACCCCGGATTCAGCCGTCATACTTCCCATCTTGTATTACAAACAGTTGCGTCGCTAATCTTTCCTTCTCCACCATCTAGTCCTCTCCGACCTTGCCTTCAACTCTCGAAACGCCAACCCACTCGCTCCCGTCGAACGTCATTCTCCTTCCAACCTCCCCACCATGGCTACACAAGCGCACTGCGCATACTGCTTCGAAACCCTCGTCGCAAGCCTCGAGAAGCGCCCTGCCCTCACTCTCGCCCAAGTCGAACACCTCTGGGCGAAGTACAACTCTGAGCCCACAACGACATCTGAGCTCGAAGACGAGACCGAAGCAGAACAAGCAGATCAAGCCGCACTTGCGTCCGCACCAGCAGATGGCTCTTATAAACCCGCCGCTATATCGCGTATCCTCGCCTCCCCATCCTCGTCAGCAAGTTCCTCAAGCCTACAAAGTGCGAGTTCGACGCCCAGCGGCTTGAACAGCGAGACACCAAGCAGTCTCACAAGCCAGAGCAGCAGTTCTACAAACTTGGTTGATGGAGATGACGAAGACGAGGAGCATCCATTGTTTATAACATGGAACACGGTTTCACGTTCCGGCGACAAGCGACTACGAGGTTGCATCGGGACATTTGAAGCGCAACCCCTCACCAAGGGCCTTTCCGACTACGCGCTGACTGCCGCCTTTGACGATACGCGCTTCTCGCCCATTACCGCACGCGAACTACCTACCCTCGAATGCGCCGTTACCCTCCTTACAGACTTTGAGCCTGTTGATGATGCTATGGATTGGGAAATTGGCACGCATGGTTTGCGGATTAGTTTCCACGACAAGGGCAGACGCTATGGGAGTACGTATCTGCCTGATGTGGCGAGCGAGCAAGGGTGGACCAAGGAAGAGGCGCTGGTCAGTTTGATGAGGAAGGCAGGGTGGAGTGGTAAGAAGGCGGATTGGAGCAAGGTTGCGTTGAGAGTGGTGAGGTATCAAGGGAAGAAGGTGGGGTTGGGGTGGGGTGAGTGGAGGAGTTGGAGAGACTGGGTTGATGAGGAGATGGCTGATGTTTAGAGCGTGGGCAGGTGAGGCACCCTTTTTTCTTTCCGGGCTGCTTTGGACTCTCCTTGAGAAGTATAGAAGGTGATGGATGGAGGGATGAATCATGATTTACAATGACCATATAGCGACGGCGCTGTAGAGGAGATACACATCGACAAACTTTATAGACAAGAAAGTTCGATACCCCATGATAATGAATAACGAGCCCTTTTACCCCAGAATCATCCTCTTCCGATGGCTGCGAGGGAAATGATTGTAACGCCATCGTATCGCGTTACCAAGTCTATACAAAAGAAGTTGTTATACTCGATCATGAACAATCCATTTTTGCTCCCAACCACGTCTTCCTTGTCCAAGGATGGGATGTGCCATGGTATCATTCATTCGGGCGAAAGTCCCCATAAACAAGGCCCCGAGTCACAGCCCCCATCTTGCAAGAATTTCCTTTGCGCAACTGATACGTTTACATGACGTACAACAAGTCGGTATCTGTTTTAATTAGCTCACTCTTCGTGTTACTAGTGGGGTATGGGAAAGGCACTGACTCAATGGATGACTGCAACTCAATTGAGGCTTCTGGTCATACTTTCCCTGTAGCTCATCACGGATGCTGTTGAGCAGTTGTACGTAGCTCTGGTTCGGGTTCTTGCGCAGCGAAGAAATGAAAGCCCAAGACATGGCTCCCGTAGCTTCTCCACCAATACTCGCGTCGGCCCTGTAGTTCAATAATCAGTATTGCCCATGTCAAATCTAAGATTCGGTTGGGGAGAGACTCACGAAGTCTGCGTATCCTTGGATCCACTCCACATGATTACGTCGGCGGGACTAGTCTTTGTTCTCAGGTTCTTCTTGTACACTTCGTCGCCACTGACCGCCTTCTTAAACAGACTTGTAGCACCGCCAATCATGCTGCCAATATCACCGCGCGCATAGCTCGCCACAATGCCCAGCAGACCCTGGCCAGCTTCTTTGGCCAAGTTGGGCTCCTTGAGCACACCTTGAGTGGAGTAAAGGTAAGGCAGATCGAGGGCGGAGCCGGAATGACAGGAATCGAAGATGGCGGTGAGTCGCACACCGGGCTGGAGGGGCTGGACCATGATACGGTGCATCTCGTCGTCGACAATGTGGCCGGCGGTGCGGAAATCAACTGGGTAGATGACCTCGTCGTAACCGTCATCTTCATCCCCGTCGAGATCTTTGGTTTGGCCGCCGTGTCCTGCAGTGAGTTAGTATGCTATGTTGACTTGATCGTATAAGGAGAGGAAAGCGCACCTGAGTAGTGGAAGAATAAAGAGTCGTTTGGCCTTGCGTCCTTGACAAGCCAGTGCATGGCTCGTAGAATGTTCGCTTTGGTCGGCTGGCTCATGGGGTTCTGCTGGTCGTCGGTCAGAGTGACCATGTCCTCCCTCTTGTAGCCAAAGAACTCGTTCAGGTACGTGCTCATGTTCTTCACGTCGTTGATGCAGCCACGAAGTTGCCCTCGTTGGCCGAAGTAGTTGATACCGATAAGCAGCGCTTTCCGTCGACCATTACACGCCGAGTATTGAAACGAGTAACCGTTGGGTGCGCCGTGACCAAAGTTTTGGGCGCCGGCGGGTGGTGGTGGGGGTGCGTTATGGTTTCCATGTGTCCATTGGTTGCTGTTGGCTGTGGGCATCATGCCTGGACGGGGAGGTTGTTGCGGAGGCGGTGGCCCATAGTTGCCGTATTGCTGCTGCTGTTGCTGCTGTGGTGGTGGTGGTCCCTGTGCAAGTCAGCCTGTAGTCCGGCAACAGTTTGCTTGTCGGCATGTCAAATTCATACCTGACTGTATCCATATTGTTGTGGCGGCGGAGTGGGTTGGCCGTAGTTGTTGTTGTAGGGTTGTTGTGGGCTCTGGTATCCATATTGCTGTGGAGGACTGGTATGCGTCAGCACCTGTCAAGCATTACTCGTCATTCTCTACTCACGGAGCACCGTAGTTTTGCTGTGTAGGTGGGTATCCTTGCGGAGGCGGGCCACCATAGCCATTTTGGGGCGGTGGAGGAGCGCCGTAGCCACCGCCGCCGTGGTATTGCTGTCCGGGATAGTAGGACATGTCTGGCTACAAGGTGCGATTGAGGTTGAAGTTGCTTCGAGAGTCGGCGCGTTCTGGCGGAGAAGCCGAATAGCCGTGAAAGATGGTTGATCAAATACCCGTTTGGGAGCGCGCTCTTGACCGGTTCAAGTAGGACTCGTGACGCCGATGTCGAGGTGAGAAAATAAGAAGAAGTGGTAGGGTGCACGAAGAAAGCTGTAGTCGGTCCCGTAATAAGGTGCGGCTGACGGTGCGTCGTTAACGTCGAGAGATGCGGTAGTAGCGCGGGGTTTGGCTGGCAAGGATGGCTAAGGCTGAGCTCTGACAAAGCTACTGATGATGCATCTAAGCTTCCAAACTCGTGGGCCACTTTCAAACCTCACAGTCCAGATGTCTGATGGTACAAGACCAAACCACAGGAATAGGCAAGACGAGTGACGATCTTTGGGAGAAATAGGAAATCCAGACCATTCAGGGGTGTGCACGATAGGAACAAGTCGCTACCGAGATGAGAGTAAAAAGGAAAGGTCTGGGAAGGGAGTCTGGCTGGTGGGTCAAAGGCGTATGGCGTATGGCTTGTGCCCATGTTTTCCTCGTGGTCAACGATGCGACTTGCATGCCGCTATGCACCGTCCTTTCGGCATTAAATCCGTAGTTTGAGCTACCAAGCAACAACAACCTAGACACCTGTGTGCCAATCCGACCTTTACTACACTGATTGAGTAAACCACTCCTCTCCAAGTCATGCTGTCCAACTAATCTCCACAACGACCTACGTGTCTCATACATATGCAAGACAACTACCCAGTGCCGCGTCTCCCGTCGCATCTCCCCTCTCATTCGTCAAACAGCCCATCATGCCCAATCCGTCCCTGTTCGTCCCTGTTCGTCCCGTCAAAGCCTCTTTTTGCGGTTTGTGACATGGGGTCGTGTGGGATGCCACGATGCCAGCGAGGTACAATGCTAGTTAGTTCGTCCGGCCTTGTACGCGAGACGGCAACACCGACGATCCCTGGGACCGGGGTCCAACTAGGTGCAGATCTGTTTCCTTGGAGCTGGGCTGGGCTAACTCTGTTTCGCGGCATCTGTTTTGGACATGAGAGGATTTGCCATGTCTTGAGCAAGTTTTCGTCGTGGAATTTTTTTTTGCTTTTTATTATTATTTCGATTGACCTTTACAGTTCTGCTCTACCATGTGTATACCCATCGAAAAAGACTCTCATGCCTCTTCACCGAATCCCACCTACATCATCCCAGTCCATCCCGAAACCAAACCATCGGCCCTTAACTTCAGCTCTCTACCACACACACACACCCTGTCCCTAGCCATATTGCCTACACAATACCATGCACCCCACCGAGTGCGGCGTGCATCGCAATAGGTGCACAACACTGTCTGGCTACATACCTACTATCAGCCCTTCCCAATCCTGGCCATTTTCAACTACGCGATCCCACCTTTACGTAGTTTTCACATGTGCAAGAAACCTTTCGGGCACTCTTCTGTCCAATTCAGGTCTTTACACCAAGGTGCACCAGAGCGCCGGCTGCTGCACTTCTGTCTTCTAGAGGCTGGCGCTAAGAGCATCTAGCCCTTCGTGTGGCTTGCGCAGAACACTGCACGCCAACGGCGAGGGCCGAATGGTATTCTGGTGTATGGACACGATGATTGGAACGAGAGAAGGTACTATGAGTGCGTCAGGCGTAACGCTGCTGTGCCTTCGCAGCACTATGTAGTTTCTAGCTGCAGTGGTAGTTTGAGGTGGGCGCAATGGGCTTCTTGAACAGCATCATTGATGTCGTGGTGGTGGCTATGGAGGTGACATCGAGTGGTAGGTTGTGGCACGTCGAAATATCGTAGCCCTACGCGTAGCTCAAGACTGGGGTATGTAGGGTAGCTGAGGGCGGTGTAACGAAACGATGTTCGTCAATCGGCATATACGCATGCAAGCTGTGCGATAGGCGAAGTGCGTTTTCTCCCAGCTGCCATGCATGTTAAGGTAACACACCATAAATAGATGCACACAATGATGTCAAGAGAGCCATGGGTCAGAGGTAGTATCGAAAGTATACTATTCGAGAACGGGGGGTATAATGTTCGAACAGTTGCATCTTTGTCGTGCTCCTTCGCCCTTTCTAATAAATAAATGCAAAAAAACTGAAGCTCCGTCCCATAATAACCACATGCATCATCAATCTTCCCGAAGCTTGACAATGGCCTGAGAGTAAATATAATCGTACACAGAGTGCCGTCCCATGTGAAGTGACTCTCGCGGTTGATCGTCTTGTTCGTTTGAAAAGAAGCAGTAAGATACTGAATGGAAGAGGATGAGAAAGAAGAAAAAAAACAGCTGAAGGCGCCGGGCGTACAAAAATCGTACAGATTACAATAGATATAACAATGCGTCAAGCCACCGAATGCGGACGCTGTCTCAGACTCGGCTTTGACGAATGAAGTAGTCGCAAACGCCGTATCGTACGCCTCAAAGGAGTAACTATTCGTAACAAAGAAATCAATCGTCAGTATACGCCAAAATCAAAACAGTGGCGATCAGGGGTGTAAAAGGAAAGCTGCTGGTAGAGCTGGGTTTGGCATGGTCTTGGATGGAGCAGGCTCGGAAGCTTCATTCGCACCATCATCTTCAGTGGCCTTCATGGTAACGTCTGCGTCCTTCTCTGCGTCCCCCAACTCTTGTTGTTCACGAGCTTCGCGCTCGGCATATATCTTTTGCTTCTGCACTTGTGCGGTTGCTAGTGTGTCGATGTAGGTCCGGAATTTAACAATTTCCCGGAGAAGGTATTGCGATTTACGCTCCCAGTTGGCCATGGCCTTCTGAGCATTGGGGTGGCGAGGGGAAAACTAATGTTAATGGTTAGTTACGATCATGGAGACGTTGGAGAATAAAACTTACGGCAATGAGCAACGGTGCTCTCAGTTCGTTGTGGTGAGCGAGCTCGTTCTCAATGTTCTTAACGTAGTCGGTAAGAGCCCTGAGCTGATCCACTTCCATCAGGGTACTAGCCATCATGCTTGATGCTGGTGGGCTCCAATCGGATAGGACGACCTTGTCACCAGGAAGTCTGGGTTTTGGCGTGCCGGTGGCATGGTCCATCGAACTACGAAGGGAGCTTGTGACACTCGGACGGGGCATGTGGCCTTGTACCGATGGCGCACTGTCTTGTCGAATCAAAGCTGGATTGATGACGTTCTCGCCCCAACCGTATTCCATGCTGCTAACACCACCCATCAGAGGTTCTTTCGAGAGACGAGCTGACCAGTAGTTGATGGTGCACACAAACTCTCGACAGATATCGGGCGTTCCGACCTGAAAAAGATGAACAGCTCCTGTCGGAAGCGAAAGCGCAAACACATGAGGCCTTGTCTTCGAGTATCCCGGAGGAGGTAGCGCGCTGGCAATGGTCTGGCGGAGTGGGAAGCTGTCCAAGGCTTCGGCGTTATCCATCCAGTTGCCGCCTCCTACAACACCACCAGCAGATGGCCGCAGCTTGCTCTTCTGCCTAACCGACTTGGAGTTCATGCTGAATGAGAACAGACGCATACAGCCTTTCTCGACAACGGAGAAACACTCGTTCCACGCTCGATCCTTTGCCTTCCTATCCACTGAATCAAGGTGCCGTTTGTGCTTGAGGATGCCTTCTTTAGCCCAGGGTGCTCCGACCAGCTCGAGAGTTTCGTCTTCCAACAGCGGGGCGACGCGGGAAAACTCTTCGTCACTGGCGATGGTCATGCCTTCCTCGCGAATGATAGCTTGACTGAGAGCATTGGCAAAGCCAATAGCCTGCTGGTAGTCGCCATGCGCAAAGTGTGAGCCTAGTGAGTCTACCGACATGGACGTACCAGTCTTGCCGTACGAGTAACGACTCCAGGAGCTTGATCCGGCAGGGCTCCACACCGATCCGTCGTCCAGACTGGTTCGACTAGACGCTACAGTAGATGAAGGATACAATCTTTGCTTTGAGCGGTTCTTAGAGGCCCAGCGACTGCCCACATTGCGGAAATCGTTTTGTGATCGGCCACGGTAGCTCGTGTTGTCAGACGGTGCTTTGCTCAACACGCTGGGAGTCCGACGTAGCATGTTGCTGACGGAGAGGTTGTTGGAAGAAGGCTGATGATGAACAACGGGCTCGGAAGATCCATGGAGTGGCAGGCGTTGCTTGCGGATGGAGTCATAGAACTCTTTGAGTACAGTCTCGATCTGGAACTCCCATCCTCGCATGGGACCATTGTATGGTGAGTTGACAAGTGTGTTGGACTCGGACACTGCAGAATCAAAGGAGAGTAGACCTTCTGAGCCACTTCTGGCGGGGGGTCGGATCGAGAGACGACTGCGGGTTTTCCTAGCTTCCACAGGCTCTTCCATATCTGCAGAGAATGTGGCGGCTTCAGCACCTGGCGAGCTGGGTTCCGACTTGTCGTTCCATGGCAGAGAAGGTCTTCGGAAGTGAGTGGAATGCGGTCTTAGCGTCTCTTCTCCAGCAGCCGTGACCGAGTCTTGACACACGCGGGTGACAGTAGGGAGTGTGTTACGGACGAACTGACTTCGTGTCATCCTCGACTCAATGTCAGCCAAGTGCAGATCTGTATTGAGGAGTAGAATAGAGTAGCAAATGGTATGCACGACATCTGTCGTGGGTTAGCTTAGTATCTCGGCTTAGCAAAGTGAACTACTTACCAACTGCCTTGAAGCCGTGGCTGCTGTTGCATTCACACCAACGCTCTGAGAGACTCATGAGAATGCGGTCAACCTGCTGGGTTTCGGCCTTGAGGATGATCTTGCCACAAAGGTCACGCATAGCAGCCAAGATGTTCATGCCGGTCCAGTCAAAGAGGTCCATAAAGGCCTTTCGCATGCGTGTGCTAGACAAGCTAACATCGCCCAACAATGTAGCTGCTTGGGCCTTCAGACTAGAAGAATCACCGCCGCTGTAGATCTGGAATGCACGTTCACGCTCTGCATCAGTGGGCTCGCTGTGCATTGATCGGTCCTCGACTATAGCAGGCATGGTGTCGGAGTCGCGACTTTCGACCTGCACTATGGGCAGACTTGTAGCAGAGTGGAAGACGTCATTAGGTGAGGTTGGGGTATTGGCGTCTGACGAGACCTTGTCGAGTGACTGCTGGGAGGATCGCGCGCCTTCCAAGGGTAACTTGAGGTCGTCGGTAGTATCACCAAGTGCGTCTGGTAGAGTGGTATCAAGCCACACACGCTTCGCGGCCGGACTTTTCTTATCAGTAATGTGCACTTTGCTGGATGATTCGGTGATGACCCAGCCTTCGTCCTCGACTTCTGAAGCGGACTGTGACACTGAACCACTTCTAGAAATGGGGTTGTCGTGGGGTGATAAAAGCTCGGCCCGGTGGTCGCCACCAGGCTTGTGATTGCTTTTTGCTTCAGATTGCCCAAGTAACGAGGGGGTGGGTCCTGTGCTTGGTCTCCTTTCCTCGGTGCCACTGCACTCGCCGGTTGGCGTTGCGCGACCACTGCGATCTTCATTACAGCTGCTGCTATCTGCAAGGAAGGTATCTTCTTGTTGGGTTGGGACAACATACTTCGCGTGCTTCAACTTCAGTTTCAGCTTAGGACTGCCTGTATTGCTCAAATCAGAAGCTCTTAATTGCTCCCCTCGTGACGCAGGAGGTGTCTGATCATCCCCACGCGAAGTTGACTTAATTGCGCGAACTTTTGTATCCTTGTGTGGTTTATAGTTTGGTGAGAATCCATTCGTAGAAGCGTCACCAGACTGCTCATCTCGTGCGTCAAGTGCCTTATCACCCGTGCGTCCTGCGTCGTTGAGGTAAGGGTTCATAACTTGTCGCAAACTGCTAACTCCGGGGCTGGGCTGTGGGGGCAGTACCGGCCTGGCTGGCTGAGTAAACTCGAGAGCCGTGACAGGTGGTTTCGTGCTTTCAGAAATAGACTTCTTTCGACGCCGGAAAAATGATGATGGCTTTTTGCCGAGCGTCGGCGGGTGCAGTGCTTGTGCGTCTCCCTGCGCAGAGTTGGCAGTTTGGGGTGCCTTTGGTAACGATTTTATCTGAGAAGCAATATGACTGCTATTGTTCGGCGTCGTGCGCGGTCGTGCGGAAGAGTACACTGAGTTGACATCGGCCGGCTGAGGTTTACTGGGGACAGGTGTTGAATTCTCTTGCGACGAGTTCAGGGCGCCGGAGGCAGCAGACAGTTGTGGTGTAGACTTGGAAGAGCCTCCACCAAACACTCGGCGGAAGAAGCCAGGCTTTGGCGCTGCTGGAGCCTGAGGAGGAAACAGTGGACTTCGTGCAGCCACGCTTGGTGATGGAGCTGAAGGATCTTGCCATGATGGCACAGGAGGCAGCTCTCGTAACGTGCTGGCATTGACGAATTCTTGCGCCTGGGCCCTCATGCTTGGTCCCGGCTGGCTCTTGTTCTTTCGCAAAGTTCTGTAGCTCGTGTTGGAGCGGACGCTGCCTCTGCGACCAGGCCGGGGTGCCTGCGGTGCGGCGTAGGATGGCTGGGGAGGAAACGCGAGGGGGGATTGTGGTGGTTCCTGAACCCTTCGAGGGCCGGCCGGAACGGTGGGCTCGGGGGCCGCATCGTATTCATCAGGATAGTTTTGATAGGCGACCCTGCCTCTGTCCAAAACGGATTCGACTCTCAAGGGCGAGATTCTCCCCCGGTCGCTTGCATTGCTGTGATCAAAACTCGCCGAGCGCTTCCCAAAGCCAAGGCGCTGATTGCCCAAGATGCCAGACTGGCCAAAGTCCATGCTCGAAGAGCCGCTGCCCATGCTGCCCTTCTTGCTGTTGCCTCTCAGGTGACCCGCTTGTTGAAGTTGGCCGTACTGAGTAGTGCCTTGTCTCCCTGTGTACATGTCCCGCGTGCTTCCCTTCCTGTGGATTGGTGTACCGATGTTGTTGCTGCTATTGCTTCGACGAGCACGCGAGTGGTGGGCAGTGTATCGAGAGTGCTCGTCGGGGTTCAGATCATAGTCAGAGGAGCGCGATGAGGTGTACGTGTGGCCCCGATGGCGCGCGCCGGGCGGTCGGTATGAGTTGTCTCTAAGAAAGAAGTCGTCTTCACCGTAGCTGGGGTACTGAGGTCCTGAGCTGCCGAACAGGTTCCCTGTAGAGAATTGGTCCAGAGAGAGCAGCATGTTGTCGACGACAGAGTCTCTCACGTTGCCGCCCTCGGCGAAGGAAAGATCGTGAGAGTCACGGAGTGGGTCGTGCTTTGGGTTGTCGTTGAATCGGTCTACGGGAGTGGCATCGTCGAAAAAGGTCTCCTGTTTGGGCTGGTTGGTATTGAGTGTTCGCATGGATCCGTTCGGTCTGTGTGTCCTGGAAGAGCCGGTGGGCGTGGTTGGGCGGCCATGGTGGTGGGAGTACTCGGCCATGGTGGGTTGCGAGGTATGTGAATGAATGTCTGCGTCGAGTACCTTCCCACACTTGGGCACAGGAGCATTCTCCGGAATGCCCAGACACGTCTGCGAGGGCTATACGGGAGCAATTGGGATCTTGCCGTGGCAGAAGATTGCACGGACAGGTGATGATGCAGGTCAATGGCGCGATGCTGCTTGGGCGCGCCGTTGCTCGTCCCTGGGAAGCCAGCGGCGTGCGGCACAAGATGCTAGGGGTGAATTAAGGCGTCTCGCAGTCGCATGACACGCGCAGAGGACCGTCGGTCTAAACTAAGTTTACGAGAGAGTTGCGGGGGCTTCAGGGGTGCCAAACCGACGATGTTGGTGGTGTTGCAAGACGAGGCCAAAAAGAGCCACGCGCGAACACTACTTGCGGATCACGACCAGGACAACGGCCAGTGTCAGCGCGGGTGGAGGTAGTAGCCTCGAGCCCCGGGGGTAAGATGGCAAAACGGGGGGGAGGAGAAGAAGAGGACGCGGTCGCAAGACGCGTTCAGAGTAGAAGGAAGCGCTGCTGGTCCCAATGCAGGAGAAAGGCAGCTAGCAACTTTTGAGTTGGAGGTGCAGAAGATCCAAACCTTGTCGTGCCACCCCTGCACGCCCACGACCGATACAACCAAGATGGTCGCGACTACGAGTCAAAACGTCTTGGAACCACGAGCCCTGACCAGCTCCAACCACGGCTCGCAGATGCACTCCCCTCGGTGTCGTTCCCTTGTGAAACGCTGCCGTGTACCACGACGTATTGCCATGCTGCAGCCACACGGCGAATCAGGCCCCTCGAAGCACTGATCACTTGTTCGCTAGGGGGTTCCATCAAGAAGGTTCCCGTCCCGGTCCTGTCCTCGTCGCCACCTTAACACGTTCGGCATATGCACAAGAAAGTGATTTGCTAAGAGCCAAAACCACTCCAGCGGGGCTTGATAGGCCGACATACGGCTGAACTAACGACCGCAATATGAACCGCGCGTCTCAGTGACAATCCTACAATATGTACTGACGGATGTACTGACGGATGTATTGACGGATACTTCGGGACATGAATTAGAAAGGTACCAATTCCCGGGGGCTGCAGCATGGCTTGAGACAACGGGTCGCGCCTCCTGCGGGCAATCCACAAACTCCGCTTTCCTGCATACATTCTCTCTTTTCCTCGCCAAAGGGGTGGAGAAAAGCAACGCTCGACTTGCCTTTGCCCAACGCTACAAGTCCACCCCTGAGGGACAGCTCATCCCAACTACCCATCTACACGCTGGCACGTCCACGTAGCAATGGCAGACCCGCCCATCGCGACTTCCTCATGGACACGTTGTAGACTAAGCTTCGCTAAGCTGTACATATCTCCGAGCCTGCACATGTGCCCTGCAAAACCTCCCCACACAGGGAACATCCTTTCACAACCCTCCAACGTCTTACATCTTGTAATATAGACCTTCTGGTCCTGGCCAGCTGCCCCGATGAAATACCATGCACTTCATATCTCGAGTAATCCAGAGATCGGCAGGCACGCGGCGTTCCTGTACCTGGGACGCGCACTTTCCGTCGTCGCTCCGGCTATACACGCTGCATCCTTCCAATATACCAAGACCGAACCTGTATACTGAACCAACCATCAGTCATGTATCGCGCTTGCTCGTTCGACCATGCACCATCCGTCACATTCAATAGCCCTTGCTATCAAATCTCTCCTTCTACTCCTTAGCTAAACTGACCTACCACGCTGCGGCCAAATACTTTCAGGAAGGCCCGACGATTAACCATGTCCGTTCACGATAGGCGAAACTTTATATCCTCTCCACGATCGCTCTTTGGTGGCCGCACCCCATCGACTCAACAAGAGTGGCACAGCATGCCTACGTACTTTCACATGTCTAGCTTCGGGGTGCATCTTCCTATAGCGCCACACCTGCGTCGCCGCAGCGCGAACCCTATACTTGGCGAGCTAGAGTTCAGAACGGCAAGCGAGTAACCACACCACCATCTTCCAAATTCTAATGCAACAAAAGACCCCACAATCACGCATGTTAGCTTCTGGTTACTTGCACGCGATTACTACGCGCTGTTTTCCAGGTCGACCTTGAAACCCTTTTTACCCGCGGCTGCTTCCCCACGTATACCTCCCTCGGGATAAGAGCAACATCAAAAGGTAGTTCTACCGGGTTGCGAAACGGAATCCCTAGCAGGGGTTCGTGTCTGACCTGCGGCTAGATCTGCCTTCATGATACACTTTGAATGCCGTACCTGAAGCTTACGCTACCGCCGGGACTCGTTCCGTACCGTCGATTCATCGGCCCTAGCTTGCAAGTGAACCTTACGGAGGTACCGGCACAGATGAGCGCTTGATAGTTGCCTTCCCGGAGAATCACGATGTTTTCATATGCTTCGACATTCTACACCCCGAATTATGCCATGCCTTTTGGTGCGGTGTTTCAAAGTTTTCTCCAGAACACTGCACCTTGTGGTAAAGTATTCCGGACATCAGTCTTGAATATCTTGTTTCATTTTCGTCAGGCTTTCTGCCTCTCACACCTAAACTCAAATCCTACTGTACTTCTGTGCTGTATGTATTCTGTTCACCTATGGATGCTTATCCTGGCCATGTTATGTAAGATGACGCATCCAATCCACATTCCATTCTGTCAATTCATTTCGTCCGTGAACGAAACTTCCGTAAAGATTATGACCAGAAGCACGTAGACCATCTCCAGGGTGGAACACGATCGTGATATTGCGGTATATGCTGTTCTTGGTGTTCGCGTTGGAGGCCTCCAGCTCGAGCATCTTATCCATCGGCCCTATATCCTCCCGGTGGCACTGAGACAGCTCCATTCCTATCGATCCCCCCCAAAATGAGCCACGTCCGCCCACTCACTGTGAGTGTTACATCTCGTAGGTGGCATATTGTGTACCGGTATCCCTTGTCCCCTCTGTGGTCCTTCACCCCATCCTTGTGAATTGCTATTTCCGCTCTGTCGATCTACGAGTTCGCAGGCCGTATTCCCAAACCCACTTTCAATATTAACAGCGAGGTCAAACACATCGCCCGTTCCCCTCTCGCCAAGTATCCATCTACTACCCCGCTGCAGGAAATGCAGCATAGCATCTCTTGCATTGCTGTCATCTCATTGAAGCTAACTTTCACATGCACCAGTACCTGTGCTTCGTGTAGCCAACGCTTCAGGGCAACTACACATAGGTCCTATTTACCATCAGATCTCGGCTAGGTGATGAGATCTAGTGTACCGTACGGGTGAGGATTCATGAGGGTAGCGTGGCTCAGTATCGAGTTACTGAGGTGGCTGTAGGGAACCATTCCAGTGGGGTTGGTTCGAGGCATTTCGCCTTGCAGTCGTGTGAGGAAAAGTGGTGGGCTGTGTGAAGAACAAGATGGGCTAGATATTGTAGTTATTTATATACATCTGAACGCACGTGTGTTTGCCTCGGTCAAGATACAATGGATGCTGCGATGAGAATGATACAGAAGCCAAGTTTTACATCGCCGAGTTACTGGTAGTAGCAAACGTCTGCGCTCAGTGAACTTTTCATGGGTAGCATGCCCGTTAATAAGGCCGCAAAGGTTTATAGGATGTATCGGCCTGATATCGCTCGGCTTCTCTATACCATAACCAACCCCATAGGATTCTCGCTTCAGTAGCCGATTTGACTATACGCTTTACTTGATGACGTTGAGATAGGCGCATTAGAGCAGTCAATCCTCCACTACTGGCTGATCAGTCACTCGATTAAATAGTCTATATGTCTATTGAACAATCGAGTAAAAACACAAATTCCGCGTTTGGGTTATATAGCTGTATAAGTATCTTTTCACTGCCCTTCATGTGCCATGTGATTTACAATCAGACGTTCGAGTTGACACTTTCAGTCGCCCCACTTGCAAAAAGACCTCAAAAACATACAACAGCGGGGATTCGCTAGTGGTCACCCACCTAACTACTAATCCGCCGGTACACTGCTTGTATATGGCTGAGCGGACGGGAAGCCTAGCTTTCACTCATGCGACTGTCACAAAATCCCTTAATTTTCCTGTATGCAGTAAGCCTCTTTTCCGTATGCAGTAATCCTCTTATCTGTATGCGGACTATTAGCACACATTCTGGTGTTAGTGGCTTGCTCCGCCCAGGTGCCATGCACTGGCGCGTAAGCACTACTGATAAAGCAGCGATCCAGCGCTTAAGGTTTTTCTGAATGGACGCCACGAACACGGGGTTGAAACACAGATGCTCTTGAACAAGACCTAGCCCCTGCAACTACAATCTGCGAGAAAAAAGACGCATTAAGAAGGCGCATTACAAATCCAGCACAGATGTAGTGAGTCCGTGAGAGGATCATTCACCCGCATGATTTGCAAAGATGGGAGCCAGGTTCCAGGTGAGAGGGCACTCTCTAGACAGAGCTTCATTTTACGATGCAATTTAGTATTTATACCTATTATAGATTCTACGTTCCTTTCTTCAGTGCAGACGAAGCTCTCAGATCAGTTGTTAGTGTTGCTATATCAACGTGTGGGTACACCCTACTTATCACGGAATTCGCCCACGATGAATATGCCAGTCGAAAGGGACGCGTTCAGCAGTGCACTCCTGCTGAGCTCAGCTCAACTATTATGCGTCCTCGCCTTTCTTATCAGCCTTCACGCTGGTTTGATATATACTACTGCGAGCCAAACACGAAGCGCCTAACAAAGCTAGAGGAGGAGGTAATTGTACAACGTATACTCAATCAATCGCTACGTGGCGTACCTCTCTCGAAGGCAAACGTACGAGATATAGCTGATAGACTGCTGAAAGAGCGTGGTGGGAAGCCTACAGGCAAGAACTGGGTTGATAACTTTATCAAGCGTACACCTGAGCTGCGAACGCGATGGAGCCGTCCGTACGATCACCAGCGAGCTGTCTGCGAGGACCCAGCGGTTATCAGGCCCTGGTTCACGCTTGTTCAATCGATGAAGGCGAAGTATGGTATCGCAGATGAGGATACCTAGAACTTTGAAGAGTCTGGCTTCATGATGGGCAAGATATCCTCTCAGCTTGTTGTTACGGGCTCAGAGAAACCTAGGAAACAGAAGAAACTACAGCCTGGCGATCGCGAGTGGGTTACCCTCGTACAAGGCGTCGCTGCGACGGGGCGCGTTATCCCACCCTTCCTCATCTTTGCAGGCAAGGTTCTTATCACCTCCTGGTTCGCAGATCTACCTCGCGATTGGATTATCACTGTCTCTCCTACTGGCTGGATCAACAACGACCTCGCGCTTGCGTGGCTTAAGCACTTTAATGCCCATACAAAGGCGTCCTCTGTTGGGGCATACAGGCTGCTTATTATCGACGGCCATGACAGCCACTGCTCAATAGAATTCCAGGACTACTGCAAGGAGAACAAGATTATCGCTCTCTGCATGCCACCTCATTCGTCGCACCTTCTGCAACCTCTTGACGTCGTCCCCTACTCGCTGTTGAAGCGCCACTACGGCGACGGGATCTCGCTCTTGGCACGCAGCCACGTCTACCATATCAACAAAGAATCCTTCCTACTAGCCTTCAAAGCAGCTTTTAAGAAGACGTTTACACTAGAGAACGTTTGCGCAGGGTTTCGAAGTGCTGGGCTAGTTCCGTACAACCCAGATGCTGTGTTGTCGAAGCTAGATGTGCAGCTGCGTACGCCAACACCAGCCGCACCAGACACTGTCGACTGGGAGGCGAAGACACCACGCAACGCCCGCGAGATAGAGGCGCAGTCAACGCTAATCCGAAATTGCATACAAAACCATCGAGGGTCACCAGCAAGCTCTTTAGATGAGAAGGTTAAGCAGCTAAGTAAAGGCGCTCAGCAGATAGCTTATAAGATGGTGGTCGTACAGGAGGAAATAGGCCACCTTCAAGAGGCTGTTAACATCCTTACAAAGCGCAAGACCCGTAAAAGGCAGTATATATCTGCAGAAAAGACTCTAACAGTTGGTGAGATATCTAACTTAATTACTAAAAATGAAGGTGGTAGTCGTGAGGACGGCGAGACGCCTGCAAAGAGAGTGCGCACACAGAGGCGCTGCGGCCGTTGCAGCGAGTTTGGACACAACTTACGCACTTGTACGGTAGAAATAGAGAACGCAGATGATAGTAACGCTTCTGAATAATACTATACTATTGCGACAGTACAATAATATGTTGTGGTGATGTACTGCGTTGCTGCGTAGTTGGTGCGTAGGTTTTAAGTGGCCGACTCGGTTGGGTGGCCGACTCGCTTGTGAACCACGTTACCGTGCAATACGGCAATTTGGTATAAGCATCACGCGACCGCCTCGCTTTAGCTAGCAGTAGGTGCGTCGAAAGCTCATGCATCTTGCCCAAAGTCCGTTAACTTACAGCTTGTGATGTGGTTATCCTATTCCGAGCACGGCGCTTAAGTTCGAGAGGCTGTTGTGCTTCTGTGTTAGGTCCAAGTCCGCCTGCTAGAAGTGCCAGATAAGGAGGACCCGCGCACCTGGCTTAAAGCAGTTTAGCTGTAATCTATTGCTGACGCTAGATCTGTGGCTGTGTGGGCTATGTGGCTGTACATCGCTTTTGCCAAGCGCGCCAGGACACCCGAAAACCGGGTTGGATTAGGAGCAGGGCTAGGTTTGGAGGTCCTGGCGTGTAGCTCATGTCAACGAACACACCTAGCATCGAAACCGCAAGCAGCTTCCGATACAGCTATCATGCAATTTCGAGATACAGTGTAATGCACAACTATAGCTAACGCCAAAGCTTGCATGCTGTAGAGATAACCCATCGCGCCGCCCTCTAGCTCCGCAGACCCGCCGTTGATCCCTCGTCCGACCCACCACGTCCTCGTCCTCTTCCCCTCGAGCACATCGCGACCGATACATATACCAAGCAGTAGCCGGATATTGCTTTAGCTCGTGGAAGGAGAACATCATGAGTTAGACGGCGTATAAAGAATAGGGGGCAGGTCTCACACAGCGAGCATGGCTGGAGACAGAGCCTAGCTGGCATGATACAGAATACTAAGACCCGAGTCTAGGCTTTGGCAAGCGGGGTGAGTGTTACTAGAAGACTGCCGTCGTTGCAAGCACGTACAAAGGTGGGAAAGGGTCTACATACCTTGGGGATACAGCTGTCGTACGTTCATACAGCGAATGGCTCCTTGCATGAGCACTGCAATCATTAGGGTCGTGGTAAGGTGCTTCAGTGTGATCTCTGAGGGCGATGAGGAGTTAGGATCGTCGATGCTCATGAGCGCTGGTAAGGGTAGAGCAGATATCTGATGGTAGCTATGCTTGGTAAGGTACTACGCTGTCCAAGACTGCATGCCGTCCTGTCATCGAAAATGACCCTTATATCTCTCCGCAATGCCATCCAGTGCGGACGTTCATGGCAAGGGTATTGCCGATGCGGGTTGGCCATTTTCTTTCCTGCATGGGGCGATACCAACAGCGGCAGCGTGCCGAAGCAGGCCATTGATGGGCTAAGCTGGGGCTATATACTTTCCGCGCACCCCACCAAAAGCGTGATCTCAGGTTGTAACGTTGGATAACTCAACGACAGCGATTATATTTGCCACTGATTACACATAGAAGTAAATAAAGCATCGGGAGAAGCTATTGCTAAAGTTGTAGCATGCTATCATAAAGTCGTCTTGACTGTAAGATCCATGTTCATCAAGTATAAGTAACTGGTTGACTCCAAGTGATGACGCTGATTCTAGGATAAAATAGCGACTCAGCCACTCTATCGCGACGTTGTTAGACGTCCTTCCGTTCTCTGATAATGTATAGAACCAGTCTGGTATCCATCTTGGCGGAAACCAAGCTGTTTGTAGACGTTTTCTCTTGAATATTATCGCTAAACGGAGACGCTGGCCGATCGCGATACGCACTCTACGATCGATACGCACTCGCGATTCTCTAGGGATTTCTTGTAAGCCTTCTTCTTATGGGATGACGCTATTACCTGGCTGTTGTTACATACACCTAGTGCAAGCCCAGTCTCGTCCATGCTCCATATTGCTTTAGGTAGTATGTTAAGCCGCAGTCTAGTGCGCTCAAACAGCTCTAGAAAGTCGCGTATCAGTTCTGGAGTAGCTGCTTGAGCGCGCGAGGCTTCAATAGATCGACCGACTACAGAGTGTACGCGCGGATTGCGACGAAGGAAGTTAGTAACCCAGAGATGGGCGAGAGGCTCGTGATCGTTGTTCATGCGGAGAATCCGGGTAGCCATCTCTCGTACACGACCGTGAGATGGCGGGTGAGCGCAAAGATCCTCATCTATAACCCAGTCAACAAGAAACTGCTCTTGTTCTGGAGTAATTCGCTGTTGTTGCTGATGAGCTATCGCGTGGCGTTGTTGGCCTGCGCGCTGGCCGCGCAGCGTCGATTCAGGTATCTTGTACGCCCGACAAGTTTGTCGCTGACACGTAAAATAGGAGCATCAAGATCAGCGATAGCAGATTGTATGAGGAACTCGCGATCAGCTATATGGAGTGCTTTGTGGTTACGTTGTTGCGCGTCGAGTGTGGGGATCTAGATTGTGGTGGGGTGCGCAGAAAGTATATTGCCCAGCTTATCAAAGTAACTGAACGCCTATCACACCTATCAAGCCGTTATTGCCCCACTTATCCCCGCCAAATACCGAATTTTTTTCGTCATCCCGCGTCCCGCCCTTACGTCATATTTGAATGAACCGATCCCTAAAACACACGACGGTAACGCATCTTTTACTTTCACCTTCTAGAATCACTACCTCATGATTACATCATTGTCCTCTTGGCCCTTAGTCTAACCCGATGGCCGACCAATTGCCGAAAGTAGCCATCCCCAGGCTGGGAAGACGTGACAATGAGCACAACTTCCCTCAGGACAAACCTCCAAAACCTGTCAAAGCCAACCTACCCAAGCTGGCGAGAGCATGTGATTACTGTCGCCAGCGCAAGATCAGGTGTACTGGCGAGCAGCCGTACTGTCAAAACTGTGTAGATCGACATGTACCTTGCATCTATCCACTGGCTCGAAAGGATCGCTTTAAAGAGTTCGTCTTCCAAACTCTACATGATTGCCTAAATAACTCCTGAACAGTGCTACAGAGCAGAACATTGAGCTCCTTGCTCTTCTGAGAGATCTGAGTGCCCATGTTGATCATAGAGGGCAGATAAAAATTGATCAACTTCTCGATTCAGTATGTTCTCAAACCGATAGCGTTACTAGTACTTATACACGAAAAGTTTAGACATAAAGATTCCGCTCATGCATCAACTATGGCAGTGAGATCACTTGGGAAGCGATCAAGAGAGGAGTCGTTGTCTGATGGAGGAGCAGCCGACATTTCTGGGTCAGTAAACCCTGATGACGCCCCCCAGCTTCTAGACGAGGACCTGCTTCGAAATAGCGAGTCAAGAGCCGCCGGCTTCGTTGGACAAATTTCTGAAGTTCAGTGGTTGCGGGACCTCAAAACTCAAATCGGCAGTAGAGCTTCAGAGGGTTGGGAGCGGCCATATGGGTCACTCTACAAGTTACAAGGCAGCAACAAGGAGGCGGTTGGGCAACGAGAAGATGCTCTGCATACTCAACAAGGATCGCCCAAAGTAGGAAACATCTCGCATGTCTCGGATTTCACCTTTTATCTGGATAGTGACGACCTCGATGTGGACATCATGGTGGACCCATACGAACTGCCATCCCCAGAGACAGCTGAGAAGTTGTTTGACTGCTATATACGGACGATTCACGACTCTTTCCCCATTGTATCCGACGTTTTCGAGGACCAATTTCGAAGGTACATCAACTCCGCGAAACGAAACCGAATTTACCAAGTCCCGGAGCATTGGCAAGCGACATTGAACTTGGTTTTAGCAATAGGAGCACAGTATGCGCATTTGATACAGGTAGAATGGCGAACAGACGAACGAGATCACCTCATCTACATGACGAGAGCAATTCGGATTCTCGGATTAGACAAAGTTGCCACTTCTCTTCATGCTCCTAGTCTGCCAATAATTCAGGTGTGTTACCGAGTACTCTAGGATGTCTGTCGGCACACTCTAATCGCTATTAGGCTACTGGTCTGCTGTCATTATATTACTTGACCGTTGGTCATGTTAGCAGGTGAGACAGTCCAGATTATAGCCTCGTCCGTTTATAGTATTGACGTTGTCCCTCTAGAGCCTGGATGATGATAGGGACATCCCTACGGTTCGCTCTTGCTGTTGGCCTTCATCTTCGAAATGACGATCCCTCCGCCTCGCCAAAACATAAAGAGAGCTTGGTACGAACATGGTGGAGCCTACACTCCATTGAGAGTCAACTGTGCGCCCTCATCGGTCGACCTTGCATTGTACCTAACGATGAATGCACGGTTCCTTTGCCGCAGGTGTTACCAGTAGAACAATCCAGCAACAATGTTCTACCTCGGAAAAGAGATCCAATAGGCATAAGACGTGAAAATATCGCACTTTTGGAACCATTTCTATCAGATATATCGACCAGACGCGATTCAGAAACCGGAATGCATGTTTCGTTCCTACAGGCTAATGTAAAAGTCGCTGTCATCATGCAGAAAGCCCTCTCGAAACTGTACTTGCCACGAAAATCGATGGGTCCCTGGGAACAGACTCAAAAAGAGATTATCTCATTGACAAGAGAAATCGATGAATGGGTGGCAGAAGCGCTACCTGAAGGACTTGGCCCAGTGGACTTTATTCAAGAACACCGCGCCCAGCGCGAGCAATTGTTGCTTCGCTTTCACTACCATAGCGCCAGATTGATTATCACTCGCCCAAGCCTTTGCCGCCTCGAGCGACGCATCAAAGCCCAGACTGATGCTTCGGCAATCTTTGATCAGAACACGGCCGAGACATGTGTTCACGCTGCTCAAGAAATAACGAGGCTTTTCCCTGACCAACCGGACTTGATGTTTATTTACCAGCGAAGTCCATGGTGGTGCACCGTACACTACATAATGCAGGCGATAGCGGTTTTCCTGCTTGAGATGTCCTCAGAAACTGGCACGACCCAAAAAGGTGAAGAACTTTCCAAGAGCATCGATAAGCTAGTTCGATGGCTCCGGTCGATGAGTCGCGGGAATCCCGTCGCCAAGCGCGCGTACGAAGTGGTAATGGACATCATCAGGACCAGAGAACCGCAAGTCCGAACTGAAAATTCCGATATTTTGGCAGAGGAACTGGCAAGGCCGTCTTACAACTATCCCACTGCAACCTCCAACGTCGATACCCAGTCCACTACCACTTTCGGAAAAGTGCAGCCTGTACGGGCATCTGGGGAATTTCAGCCAGGTCAGGACTTTATGCTAGACCCGGCCCTGGAAATGCTTCCAACCTTCAGCACCCCCTTCATGACGAATTTCGATCAATTTAATCTGCTGTATACCGAATACTTTCCAAGTAGACATCCTATAGAAGATACATGGATGCGGTACCCGAATCTTCCAGAGAACAATCAGTAGCCACCTGCTTGAGCTATGTTTACCGGGACATACTAAGATGATGTCCCTCAATAACGTAGATGTTGGTAGATGCGCTGGCTTTGTAATTAAGTTATGAAACATGCCATACTCGAAGCCTTGTGTGTGTAACGTTGTTTCAAGGCTCGTAGAGGCACGTTTGCCTCGTGCTTTGCGGCTGCAATACTTTCAGTCTCCCCCTAGCATTCAGCTTTCGTGTGTGCTAGCTTGCCCCCATGCCCCCAGGGCGTGGAATGTGTTCCCCGATTTCCGATGTTCTTTGAGTGTTATGATGCCGTCCACTAGGTTCCTATGTGGCCATGTTGTGTGGTATGACCTGCCGCCGTGCGCAGCGGCAGCAGCATTTCATCGTGGCGTAGCTCCACAAGATCTATGCTCCGCTCGTGCGTGTTGTCGAGCTTACTGAGCATGAGAGCTCTCGCACGAATCTCCTCAGACCTCGTCGGGCGTCTGTGAGGTGATTCGCGCGGGAGGTGATGCGGTTCAGCCCGAGGGCTCGTCGATGCGGACATTGCAAACATTGTCGGTTGGCGATGGGCTTAACAGAAAGCCCATCAGTGACTGTGTTGTGTGTGTGTGTGTTGTGACCATTGTGCTCAAGGGGTGTTTGGGCTCCGTCGTCGCGTCTTGCGTTGCTGTGTCGCGGCTAGATGGCTGCCGCTGCATTTGGTGGATGTGTCATGTTAAGTAATTAGCTTGCTCACAGATTTTGTCTGTCCGTGCCTGCCAGTGCCGCAACAGCGGCTCTACAGGTACCAAATCGACGCGGGGGACGCGTGTTGGCCTGTAGAGACCATTGCGGTCACTGGCAGATGTTTTTGATGCTGTCACGATGGGCAGTTCCAAAAATTGAGTTCTCGCTGTTTGTCGTGTTTTAGGTAATTGGTGTTCCGCGTGCATTGACTGGGCCAAGACGGTACGGTAGGTAGCGGAACAAAGTGTCCGCGACGCGTCGCGGCTGAAAATGAGTAAAACCAGACCAAACCCAATCAACACGCCTTTTAACTTCGTTCCGCTGCATTTGTATTAGTAAACGCCAGAAAATGCACTTGCTTCCCCGAAATACAGAGTTATACGCAACCACCCCCGCCATTGATGGATACCTGAGCGCCAATTTTTCGTGTGAGTGAAACATCGCCATCAGGGCCGCGCCTTCCCGCGACGCCTCCGTCGCACCTCCATTCTCCCCGCCTTACGAGTATCCGAAGACGCTCCATCGCTTACACATACCTCGGAGCGAAGAAGAAGGACAAAAGGGTCGTCTCCATGCCTCGAGTGACCAAATTACCTTGCGAAGTCCCCGACAACGAGCCTCTCCACTCCGGCAGTACGGGCGTATCTTCCTCAATATCACCAAGCCAGAGCGAGCAAAGGACGTTGCAGTCTCGACCAAACTCACCGGCTGCTAATTCCTCCGTAACGTCTTCGTCCCAGAGCTTATCATCGCTGAGCCCGTCCGCAACGGATCGCGTCTTTCCCATCCGGAGCGTCGAGTGCGCAAATCCCCCGTCTACGTCCACCTGGCGGCGTTAGGACAACTATTTCTAACTATGCACCAGGGCCAATGAAGCGCGCATACCCAGCGAAGCACGTCGCCAATCCCAGGGCGCAACTGCCTCACAATCCTCGCATGCGTCACAAATAGGGCTTGTCCACCGGGATACCGTAGCGTCTACTTTCAATACGGGCGAACCATTGCACGCCGAGGCTAGGAGGAACTCGATCAGGCTGCAACGGGGCGAAACATTACAAACGGTAGCAACACGTCTAGCTGCACATTTCTTTGGCGATATGGTTTCGAGCCGATCGGACGACACTGGAGAGGGCCATTCTTTGTCTTTACACGCCGAACAACCTTCTGCTCCTAAAGCTGGCTTGACTGGGAAGAGCGTCGCTAGCAGCGTGGAGGATCGTGAACCCCTCGTAACGCATCGATTCAAGCACGTAGTAACCTGCGGAGATCATCCACTCATTACTGGCCGAAATAGAGACACTTTGCACCGCTGCGAGGACGAACTAATTCACACCCCTGGAACTATCCAAGGATTTGGCCTTTTGGTAGCGCTCGAGGACATTAGTGGAACGGGTGATTTTCCAGTCCGTATCGTCAGTGAAAACTCGAAACGAATCACTGGAAGAACCCCAGTTGAACTCTTTGCTCTAAACAGCTTCACGGACATTTTTGAAGCAGACGAGGCAGATGAACTTGTTAGCCACATTGATTTCATTAAGGACAAGGACGAGGACGCAGATGTCGCTACGAACGGACTAGAGGTATTCACCCTCACTTTAAACATCAGAAAAAAACAGTCGAGAAAATTATGGTGTGCCGTGCACCAGAACGAAGCTAATCCTGGCCTCATTATCTGCGAATTTGAGCTCCACGAGGACCAGCTCTATCCCCTGGAGCCTCCTCATGATCTCACGCCCGAACTTCCAGAACATAAGATTAACCGTAACGCCACTCCTGGGGTGTTTCTAGAGAGCAACGAGAACAAAAGTAGGCTACTAAGGAGATTGTGGAGCGTAAGGAAGCGGAAAGGCGAGCCAGCCGCTATGGAAGTTCTCAATATACTGTCCCAAGTTCAAGAGCAGCTCGCGGCAGCACCAAGTCTAGAGAAGCTTTTGGAGATTCTAGTGGGCGACATAAAAGCGTTGACGGGCTTCCATCGCGTCATGATCTATCAATTTGGCCAGACATTCAGCGGGCGGATTGTAACAGAACTTGTGGATCCCAGAGCAACCAAGGATCTATACAAAGGACTCAACTTCCCGGCATCCGATATGCCCAAGCAGGCTAGAGAATTGTATAAGCTCAACGAGGTAGGCATGCTCTACGATCGTGATCTGGAAATGGTGCGGCTCGTCTGCGGCACTGCGGAAGATCTCGAAAATCCTCTTGATCTTACCCACTCTTATCTCCGCGCCTTGTCACCTCTTCATCTCGAATATCTCGCCAACATGGGCGTGCGGTCATCTATGTCCATATCCATCAATGCGTTCAACGAACCTTGGGGACTCATAATATGCCATTCGTATGGCCCCCGAGGAATGCGCCTTTCTTTCTCGATACGGAAAGTGTGTCGCCTTATTGGTGATTTGGCCTCAAGGAGTATGGAAAGACTCTCCTATGTATCGCGGTTGCAGGCCTGGAAGCTCATCAACACTGTACCTATGCTGCACAACCCGTCCGGATACATTGTTGCCTCGTCAGAGGAGCTCCTGAAGCTCCTCCATGCCGATTTCGGGATCCTGTCAATACGGGATAAAAAGCAGGTATTTGGTCAATTGGAACAGCCCCAAGAGGCGCTGGCCATGGTGGAATATATCCGGATTAGGAAGATAACATCCGTCATGGCCTCTATGGATGTTACGCAGGACTTCCCAGATCTTCGATACCCTTCCGGTTTTCAGGCCATAGCCGGAATTCTTGTACTTCCTTTGTCGATCGATGGCAGCGACTTTATTGTGTATTTCCGAAAATGCCAGCCGAAAGAAGTCGGGTGGGCGGGCAGCCCATACGAGAAGTTCGGAAAACAAGGCACAGAAGGCTACTTAGAGCCGAGGAAGAGCTTCAAAATGGGGTGTGAGACTGTCCATGGAACGTGTCGAGAGTGGACCGACGAAGAAACTGAAATTGCAGCAGTGCTTTGCCTTGCCTACGGAAAGTTCATTACAGTCCACGGACAAGACAAGGCTGCATTACGGAGCAGTAGACTGACCCGGTTATTACTGGCAAATTCAACGCACGAAGTTCGCACCCTTCTGAACGCTATCATCAATTTTCTTGAGATTGCCCTTGAAGGCTCATTAGACGAAGAAATGCGAGAAAATTTAGTCAAGTCGCACTGCGCCTCCAAGTCCTTGTTACATGTTATTAACGATCTACTCGAGCTTATGATGACGGAAGACGCCAGCAACAACTCCAGAAAGCTGAGACAAAGGAGTTAAGAGCAGCTAATGAGCTGTACGAGGAGAGAATAGCTCAGGAGAGGCGTGTGGAGCGGGAGAGAGCCAAGGCAGTCAGGGAGAGGGAGAAGGTCGAACAGGCAGCTGAAGAAGAGCGTCAACAACAAGCTCGCAATGCTGCCAAAGCTATACAACTGTCCCAAAAGGGTAAGAGGAAGGCCTCACAGCCACCCACACAGAAGAGCAAGCGTCAGAAGCGTGTTGTTAATGCTAGGCGAGGCATCGAAGTTGCAGAGGCCGCCCAGCCGTCACCACGCGCCATGGCCGCAACGTCACACTTCCAAGTAAATATAGATAAGCCAAACTAATCACAAGTGTCACTTTACTACTCCACCACAGAATCTCGTAATAATAGCGATTGTGGGTGGCTCTACAGCCTCATATTTAGTTGGGGTGGTCTGGTGTTCGGCGATCGTTACGCGCACAGGCACGGTAGTAGCCACGCTTTCGATTCATGACGAGCGCTGTCACCAACGGATCGAGCTCGAGGCGAAGGGCACAATCCAATCAAGTAGATCCGCTGCCCGCGGCACCGACAACGAAACCGACACCAAGGAGGACATGATGGGTGTTGACGGTGTTGGTGGTGTCGCTGGCATCGATAAAAGGGATGAGGCGGTTCGTGCGAACAGTTCCAGCGAGAAAGGCTTCAGCCGGAACACTTCACCGAAAAGTCGGAAAAACTGTCGGACCGATGGGGCATCGGAAGACCAGTCTACCAGCGTCTCCTCGCCGTCGATCCAGTTGTCGCCAGGCTCGCCATACTTTGTTCGCCGATCCAAGAGCACAACGGGTGGCATGTCGGTGGCGAGTTTGCTGCAGTCGCACAACCCGGAAGACATGCCAGAGAGCTCCGTGCCGGTGCATACTCGCCAGGCCTTGCAGCAGACGAGTTCGCACTCGCATAACTGTAGGGATGTTTCAAAGGGTACGAGAAATTACTCGTCACAGTCTGTTCCTCTGACGCACGAAGAGGCCTTGCTGGTGCACCACTACACAGAACATCTCGGTCGCTGGCTTGATTGCACTGACGCCACTCGTCAATTCACACTGGTGGTACCGGAAAGAATCAAAAAATGCCCAGTGCCTTGCTACGCCGTCATTTCCTTTGCTGCTCACCACTGTAGAAAGGAGGCGACAGCGGATGCAGCTTATCAGCGCTGTGTTGCCTTGCTCATCGAGCAACTAAGCGAAGACGCTGCTAGCCACGACGAGACTCTTCTGTGCGCCGTTGTCGTACTGCGCTTCTATGAGCAACTGAACAGTGAGTACCGATGTGTTCGTTGTGCGACTACTTCCTGATATTGCCCCTAGCCTTGTCCAGCACTGGTTCAGATGATGAACAGCATCTCGCAGGCTACTCGGCCATCATTCGATCCTCTCGGGGAAACCGCTATGTAGATCCATCAGCACCCACCTTCCGCGAAGCCGTCTTCTGGGTCTACGTACGCCAGTGCCTCTACAATGCTACTATCAACCAGCAGCCGCCTGATATCGACTTCTCGTTGCAACTGCACCCGACCCCGGGCGAGATGCGAGATGCGCACCCATTGGCTCGATTAAGGTTAGAGACAGCTTGGGCCAATCAAATGACATGGAATCTTGCATGCGTCGTGAACTTCTGCTTCGATGGTAGGGAACCCCAAAACGAGAAAGCTCACAAGATGCGACGCTGGCAGGAGCTGTGGGACCTTGTTCAGACGTGGATGCATGAAAGACCGGACACCTTTAATGCGGTTTTCGAAGGTTTAGCTAGCGGCCAAGGCTCCTTCCCCAGGATTCTGTTTACGGCCGACTGGCATAGTAAGTCCCGTATCCTTACCTCTTCCCTTAGATGCTTATAGACCTATCAGCTGTATCGTTTGGGTTTTACCACTTTGCGCATATTATGCTGCTACGTTATAAACCAGGCCCGAAGTTTGCGATTCGCAATGTCGAGAACCTTTCTGATACAGATGTAAGGATTCAAGCCATTGGAAAGCACCGCTAGGTACTTATCACAATAGCATCAAATCCTATCGCACGCATGCGCCATTTGCGGGGCGAGCAACAGCTCACCGGAGACTGTGCCATTGGCGATTACCGTCTGCCATACCATCTTCATCTGGGGACCGCTCGTATGGAATTCTGGAGAGAGGGACCAAGTGGTACAGATCCTGAGCAATTTCGAAAAACATCACCTCTGGCCAACAACATGGATCATCAACGCACTGAAAGCTGAATGGGGCATCCCTACTTCCTCAAACTCTCCAACATAGTGCTATGGGAGTGGAAATTCTACTCGGCATCAATCCTTTACTCAAGGAATAAGTGAACTGAGCAGTTGCTCGTACTAAACGACGCCTTTTGCAGCTAGCGGCTTGATAGTGTCAACTAGAAAACGACCGCTGTAGAAAGTGTTGAAGACTATGCGAAACGCGCAGCGCGGCACGAACGGGGTGTCTCAACATCGTTTGGCAACCCTTACAACTTCCAGGGAGAGTACCGTCGTGTTTGATACCACACATATAGTATATTGAGCGCATGGAGAACATAGGCATGATTATAGTGTGGAAATCGGTAGTTAAACGTAAGAAGTGGAATGCTAACGCAAATTGAGCACCATAGTCGACTTCGAACATCCTTCCATATCGCCTTGTTCAGCAGCCTTGATATTACACCCAGCTGTTTTTTGTTATCCTGAGAGATTAAAGATGCTGATTGTGTCTTCGCGTGTCATCAGTCCAGAAATAGTGCATCAATATAATCCACTCCTTGAGTGCCCCAAAATCCTTCGTGTGCTTGCCGTAAGCACGTGGTAAAAATGCTATGACTACAGCCGCTGCAGAAAGACTGGAGGCCTTCTTTGGGAGAAGGACGTAGGCCATCACCTTCATCACGCACCAGCCCAAGATTAAAATGAAGTTCAATCAAAACTACGACTACAGGAGGGCCACTTATGAGCATCCTAGAATTATCGAAGGGGATCCATGTTGTCGCAGGCCAAGCGTTGTCGCGAACATGAACTTTATTACTAATAGCGCCGTGTGATTACCTTCATATAAGCTGAGCTAGGATGCTGCAAACAATAAAACATACACTCACTTCTAACTAACCATTCTGTCTATGATACCTGCACCCAACCGTGCGACACATGCTTATGCAGAACACAGAGGCCGAGTCCGGGAAATAGAGGACGTAGAAAGATATTAATATGCATTTACCTAAAATTACCTCCTACAGATGAGAAGTGATATACGAACAGCAGGCACAAACATGTCCTAATCTTGCAACAAATTTTCTTGTTATACATGGCAAAGACGATGTACAGGTGCCAATTGCGAGCTCAATCGAGCTTATCAACGTTATGCGGAAGTGGAAAATGGAGGTAAACCTGAAGGAGGTTTCAACTGTAGCCCATGGCTTCGACTATGACATCCACAGTCCGCAACAATCAATTCAATCTGGACTCTGTCAGAGACCCACTTACCTATCTAGGTAGGAGTTAAACTTGTATAGGAAATTGCTAGGCCTAAAGACGTAATCAATCAAGTCAATCTGAACCTTCTAGGACCCACTTAATTGATTGTTGCGGAGTCTGATGACATCCCACTTTCAGATGCTGCTATGGAGCCTTTTAGGCGTCTGATGGAAGACATCGGTATGTAATTGTAGAGTACTCAATATGTGAACCAAGCCGGGGATGAAATCACACACCCGCTTCCTGCATAGAGAGAGAAGTTTCCCGCATTCCACGAGCAAGTACCTAAATCATATACTTCCAACAGTTGGAACAAAAGAGTTCAAGCCAGAGAGTGAAGAGCTTCCGCTATTGTACATAGATTACACAATTGGATAGACGCTGCAGTCGCGTTGGCAAAGACGAAAGTATGCAACAACCGCACATATTCTTCGTCTCTCCGCTCAAATCCCGAGTTTTCGTGGGCCTTTACTTGCTCGCGTGAAAGTACCGCACATAGAAGCGATGCAGCAGCGAGACGAGCAAGCAGTGCCGACTCGTAAGCAGGAGATATTGTTTTGCCTCTATTTGCGATTAGATAGCTTCGAGTACAGATGCAATCCACCTACATAACCGCAGAAACAATGTCCATTATAGTTAAGGTCGCCACTAGATGTACTGCCCATATAGTCCGGCCAGGAGAGATAAAGATCTGCAGCAATCGGGCGAGCTAAAATTCATGTTAGTAGAAGATGAGCAATCAAGGGAGGCAGACTGTCTGACAGCTTACTGTAATACGCGTGTTCTAACAAGGGGTCCAGGCGCAATTCAGCCATCCGCCAATCATGTACCCATATTATGATAATGCATCTTTGCGCAACCCGGCGCTCATTCCGGCGCTCAACCCTACACTCAATCCTACGCTCAACTACGCCATGTCTACGCGACAGAAGTGTATGCGTGATGGATTTCAAGATGTTGATTCAGTCTGGAAACACCTTAAAAATTGAACGGGACCTGATTGGTTCACCATCCCTGTTAAAGCCTGTCTCACTGACGAACAGACCGTAGAGGTGGGGCTTGAATTGAGATCCCTGTCGTTCATGCTATTGTCCTTTTCGTATGCAGATGGCCGCAAGCAGCACATTGCCAACAGAAGGGCCTAGGGCACGTCATCCTCACACAAGCGACAGTCGAGGGTGGTTTGACAGTTAGGGGTGGGCGCCAGCGCCAGTGAGAACTCCCGCTTACCTTGTACGCGTCATACATGGGCAAACCGGTTAACCGGTTTCGCTTACCGACCGAAACGACCCCCAGTTTAACCGGTCCAACCAATCAGACCAGTTGAAAATGTAGACCGATCGGAACGACCGATCATTTTGCCCATGTATAAATCGTTCAGATTGGTCGTTTCGGTCGGTAAGCGAAACCGGTTAACCGGTTTGCCCATGTATGGTACGCGTGTATATTAGCCCCGGGCGGAAGTAATTGCTGCCAACCCTTGCAATGAGTGTCAGCCATAGTGCTCCACGGTGCTCAACAACGCTTCATTATGCTCTACGGCCTTCTGTATGTTTGCTATCTACATTCATACAATAGACACTATATTACGCCTCTCGACCTGAGACACCAGATGTCTGAGTTGGTCGAAGCAGATGCGAAAGTTGTTCAGCCATGCTTCGTCCTGGTCGCCCGTTTCGCGGGGAAGTCTGTAACAGATGATGGAAAGGCAGATTCAGCAATTCACGCAACGACGCCAAGCTAACTAGCTATCACCCGGGGTGATGACTGATTAGGTTAGCGCCATTCAGGCTGCACATGGCACACACGTAAGGTTATCATGTTAAGCGCCGTAATGTGCGTCCACTCGTAGCGGAACACCATTAGCGCCAGTGATATAATGATGTTGCGCTTCGCTTATGTCCTGTGCCGCATGCCTACCGCACACTGAGCACAGTCCAGCTGTCGACCAATCACGTCATAAGCTCATGTGGTGATGATGTCCTCGCTCGCTCGGCTATTCGGGCCAGTGTAGCCACATACGCTCAATCGCACACACAACCGCACGCTCACTCTTACAGTCAACTACACGGTCATCTACACGGTCATCTACACGGTCATCTACACGATGCCAGCGCAACGGTCGCGCGGTCGAGTCGGGTTCAAAAACGTTGAGTCAGGATGGACACAGCTCATGGAAACGTTCAACGACATTGAGCTATCGCTACGCTTGACAAAGGGCCACATCAGGCGCATTGAGAAAGTGATGGAAGATAAGAAGACGAAGAGGTCAGGGGCCTCCCTTAAGCAACACAAATTCCTAAGAAGAGTATTGGCGATCGACTCCGACTCTTACACGTTATGTGTTGCCGCTTTCTCGCAGAATCAGATCGATTCTACGAAAGCAGCTATACTCGATGGATTGGTTGAAAGAATCAGGGAACGGCGCAATGACACAATCATGTCTCCTACTATGCGATCGCTTTTTGATCATTCAGAAGACAATAGGATTGTACCATTGCCCCAAGAGACCAACCAACTGTTAAGAAGCACGTCAGAACCGTGGGTCGAATTGAAATACGCCGAAAGAGCAGGAACTAAAGAAGTTTTTGGACAATACCTAGTAGACAGGATTGAGAATACGGAGCTGAGTGACGACTGGAAAGCAGTCATAATGCGCCTGCCGATGTGGCCACCCGATCTCTCCGCGCCTTGTTTCATGTCATTGGACCTTTGCGAAGAAAGTACTAAAGAGGTCGCAATGGCATTGTTCAAGGTAGAAGTAACTTGGGTGACGGATGCCTTTTGGGTCGTCCACGATGGCGGGTTGTTGCAGATTATACCTTATTCTCAGCATACAATGAAGGGCGTCTTAGACGAGGACATCGTTGCCGTTTTCGGGGCAGATATACATGCTGCAATCACTACATGTAGCATTAGGGCGAACGAGTTAAGAGAAGGACATGGAAAAACAAAATGTATATCAATGACCTTTTCAAAGAGTAAGGCTACGATCGACCTGACATTGAGCGTAATGGAAGGTGTCAAGATCCAGAAAAAGCTCGGTGTGGCCGCCGCATCACGATAGATTTCCCTCAATCTAACTCCATGAATTTTCCCTTTGCGATGTATAGCTCCCAGCCCTCTTCGACTATTAGTCCTCCATTCTCAATATGAGGTAGCCGCGTACGCTTCTCATTCCCTTCCTTATCTTTCTCAAACACAGTGACGCTGCTATTTCTCCATTCCACAGTTTGACCTCGACCCGTTACTACCGTGGCAACATTATCCTTAACATCTGTAAAATCTATATCTGCGTTGGGCGGTTGTACTTTGTCGGCGTCGAAAGCCTGGAAAAGATTAGTTATGAATTGAGAGAGATAATCTTACCTACCATCAAGATATAATATGTGACGAGAAGAGCGTGGAGCGAGTTGATCGGACAGTTGGTGCTCGCGCGTGGGGTTTTGTGGTGTGTGGAGTGGCGGTCGCCCCGTTGACACTGGAGACGCATAAATGCGTCAGCAAAAGTATACCTGATCGATGCTCAGAGGGTTGAGCACTTGCTGGTGGAGAAAGCGATCAAAGTGCGCGTATGAAAGTTTCGATGCGATGTGCGCGTTATGAGGATGTGTAGACTCGAAAGGTTGGGGGCTGCAGATGGTTGTTGGAGGGGTCATTGAGGGGTCGTGGAGCCATGCAATTTGTCGCATGCGTTAGGCACTCACGCTTTTAGGCCGTAACGCAGACTTCGAAAGCAGCTCGAAAAAGTGACTTTGCGCCGTATCAACTGACTCTGCTTATATTGAACAATAAAATTGCCAGTCTGATGTGTAAAAAAAAACATGAGCTTATGGCATTGCTCCTGCTTCCGAACCGTCGAGCAGCCGGCCAGCCGTTGCCCCGCACTGTCACGTGACTATCTCATATTCGGTTGTTACCTCCAATCATTTCACTGCCGCAACAGTTGCGTCACACGTAGCGTGTACTAGAGCGTAATTAGAGCATGTTTGAGCTACCTGAGCGTGTACTCATGTACTGGGCGTGTAGGCTGGTCATACATATCGTAGGGTTTAATGTAGAACATGGGCGGAGGTACCAGAATCATGTTGGGGTCAGCGAATTATGCGCTCTGCAAGCCTCTCCAAATTTGCAGACATTCTCCGCTAATCTTACGGTATCCTGCGATACGACAAAGAAGCCTAGATGGAAGTGGAGGAGTTGTCTTATGCAATAGTAGTGATTGTTGATGCGCATCCCGAGAGTGAGACTAGGTGTATAGATATGGGCGGTATTCGAGGCGCCCACCGCTTCGATCCGCGCGGAAAGCAATTTGATCTGCAAGCCCCTTCGTGCTTGCAGGCATCTATAAAGTTGGAGATGCGGCGGCATAGGACGTGGGTCTCTGTATGATCCAAGAATATGGCGCTCGCTTGCCGCTTCTGCAGACGTGCTGTGCGGTATCAGCACAGAGGGGAAGCGTAGTTGTGGGTGATGAGAGGAACAATATATTTATAGGGTCTTCAATACATATAAAAGACCAATGGCCACCCTCTACTTCAATATCTCAAAGCCATCATCCTTCATCTTGCTTGGCACGTTCCCTTTGCCCAGTTTGTTTCTCAGTTGACAATTCAACATTTCGACGCCTTCGACATCCCCTGCTTTGCCGTCTCTTTTGGCAGCACTAAAACGTCCGCTGATACCCTCTGTGCCTCGTATTGTCGTGGTATTTGTTGTAGGTCAGCCTTCTTCTCCAAGCGCATTCTCGATTTCGAAAGGGTCGATAGAAATGTATGCTAACGAGCCTCTCATCCTTAGGGGCGTCTCCGATATCCCGCGTTAGCACGGGGAGATATCCGAGTGCAGCGATCTTTGACCCTTATCCACCCCTCTGTCTAGCCTGGCAGTCCAAGACCATCGTCGCTGGAGGTAGGCCAATTCAATCACACTTCCTTCCTCCACTGACGGAACTAGGTCTTACCTTCACTCGAAAGGATCTCTGACCCACCAAACTAACCAGACGTGCCGCGAGAGCATTGCATATTTTGGGTTATAGGAGTTACCGGCTCAATCTCCATGCCTCACTCTGACAGCAACACGGAGTCCTCAGCTCCTGATTCTCCCAATCACAACACCGAACAGACCGCGAATGTTATGACTAGTAATCGGCCTAGTCGTGGCTCCGATGGTCATACTGAGAACAATGGTGCTCGTGCCGCAAACAGCTCAACTTACTTGAGCGATTATATGTCACCTAATACCGACGATGAGCAGCAGAGGAGCACAAACGGTGTCACTTCAGGATCAGGCGGAAGCGGCCAAAATTCTTAGCTGGTGCGTCGGTCTTACGGAGTTTTCGGCTTGGGTCTTGGCATTTTGTGGCGTCGGCACGTGGTATGACGCTAGTGAACCAAATCCAGTTCGCCAGCGTGTTCGGCCCAATGTTACCAAGGCTTCAACGTGTCATATAAATACATCAACTTTACATTGATAAATTCAAGACCATCTGTTTTTCTTCATGTCATCATACAATTATTTGCCTTCCCACTCAAAACTCGACGAACGGGTTGCGGAGGTGATTCTTGGTGACCACACAGCGCTCAATACTGCGAACTTCGCTGTCCTTCGTTACAACGAAAACGAAACCCAAAGCTGTAAATAATAGCCTTCAGTCAGGTATGCGCCTGAGAGATCTTAATGGCATTGCTAATGATACATAGTTGAACGACATCAGCGATGCCGTAGGAAAGTTGCCGATTGTCCATCGGCGTGAAACTGGGGAGATCATGGTAACATATCCGGCTGGTCACGCCAACCGCAGCGAGACTAAGCACACCGGCGCCTGATCTCTCTTCGGTCCCAGCAGGCCAACAACATCTTTGGGGAGAACAAGGCGAAAAAGGTAGCGAGGCCGCTGGAGAAGGGAATACACCTAGTGCTTCCTAACGTCTCCTTCTCGGTATCAGAATTTGTTGATTTCTATGTGCTGCCATTCAAATATGAGCATTAAGATAAGAAGCCATGGCGTACATGGCTCATAAATTTGATAATCATTGAGGTCTTTAATTACATGATTTCTCGATATTCTTGCATGAAGTTGCTCAGAAATAATCCATCCGCGACCGGCAATTGCTGAGATTCGTGCTCATCAATACCCGAAATTTGGTTGACTACAGCTAGCCCATCTGAAGTAAAGCCGTTCGCCTGTCCGTCTAGCAACACACCTAAATGACTAGGAAAGTACTGTTGGTCAGGCTCCGAGCGACCAAGATCACTCGTTGAGAGATGGCATGATCGCATAACGGATCCTGCGCTGTCATCACACGAAACCTGGCGGTATTCTGTTGACGCATTACTCGCTTCCCCTGCTGGCAGCATCGCTCATAATCTGCCCTAATTGCAATGTTCTAAGATACTTGAGGCGGCGTGGCAGGGTTGCAGTTGGTAGTCCAGCAGTGAACTGGCAGCAACCCCGTGTAGCCTCGGTTGCCATGTTGGAGTGACTGAAGAACGTTTGCAGCAATTGTAACATCGAGAGCTTGGTTTTCTACGAAGAGGCCAGGGCAAGCCCCAAACTGCAAGAGGAGGTATTCTGACATCTGAATCGTACCTAGCTTTGCCTGAATCTGGGATGTGGCATGTCTTGAGGTCTTCCGTCGTTTGGTGGCGTTTGTACTTTCTTCGATAGAGTCGACAAACGACTGTTGATCGCATAGAGAGGTTTGGTAGGAGGGTACGAGCTCTTTCGAGCTAGGCGTCCTCGATGGCAGGATGATGTGACAGTCGTTCCAGATTCGCCTGATTGGCGGACTGACTTTTGGTTCGGGGTCATTGCTGATGAACGCTACGGAACTAAGTGATAGCCCGAGCATTATAAGGCCAGGGATTGACTTACTGAAGTGCTGATGCATGAGACTGAATATGCTCTGTACTGACTCTGAGTACAACTCTGAGTCCTGAATTAATTCCTCATTTATCCAATTGAAACCAGAAACAGGGGACCGATGTCTGTTGCTCCACAAATCATGGTACCTGATGGCGTTAGTGATATGGAATAAGTGAAGACTAGGGCGCATACTCAGATGTTGTAATGAGATCAGAGACTGTGATAACTAAACCAGGGGCTCGAGTGAACATCAGGGAAATAATCTCGCCCTGAAGTACGTATCTGTCGATTTGTTTTCGCTTTGCCTCCTTCTCTTTCGAGTCGAGCTTCTCAAAGTCTGGCTCTAAGGCTGAAACCATTCGTGCCTTAACACGAGTGGTAGTGTTTTCCGAAGTCCTCCGTTTTAAGCATCCATTCCACCAATTAGCGAGGCCCATTTTATGGAAAGGTCGCTGGAGGCCCCCAAATTTTTCTGAAGTGTCGAGAGCTCGATATGACCATTGCCCAAGGGATGCATAACTGGTATGGCCGAAAAAAGTAGGCCAATTAGAAAGCAATGCTTCTAAACTCTTCTTTTCCTTGTGTTGCTTTAACTTCCATTTCTTCAAGGTCTTCGATGCGAGTGTCTGACAAATTTTCGTCAATTCTTCGTCCGAAGTCGGCTTTTTCTGTTTCTTTTGCCCGGATCTTTTGTTGTTGGAACCATCACTGTTGATCGCATCGATATCGCCTTCCCTGTCTTCATGCTCATCAAGACCTGCATGATTCTTCCCTCTGAATAAATTCTCTGCCCCATTGTCTGCTTTTCCCGCAACTTCACCTGCAAATCCTGGTGTTTCTTCATCGTCGCTGCTGAGAAGATCATCTGGTCCGTCGTCGACCTCGTCTTGGGGCGTATTGTCTGGGTCGTTGTTTCCTGCAAACCAAAATTTTGCTTGACTTGTACTACTTCCAGAAGAAGATGCCACTGTTTGAACAGGCTGTTGGTCGACAGGCTTAACTGTAATCCTCTTCTTGTTGATGATTCGTTGTAACAAGATGGTGATTGATTCGGTCTTCGTTTGTATTGTGATGAAACCATTTCGAGATGCGCTGCACTGGACTCCCGGGCCAACGCTGACGGTGCACTCAATCTCCACTATACGTGGTATATTAGGAGTGTTCATCTCGGGTTGGCGATGCAATGAAGACGGATCGGACTTGTTGTGGTGTAGTTGTGACACGCTGCTGGTGCCAAGGAGAATGTGGACATCGTGTCCGTGATTGTCTTGGCCGTCCAACTCGCTAGTGTTAGCGTGTCCATCACCCAATACTTACAGATCCTTGTCGCGGTACATCACATAGCACGCTCAGGTATCAGATATGCGGGCCGCTGGCTGCACGCGCCTGCATGGTCCAGGCCATAGTGGCTCCAACGTCGCTATCGGTGTGTGAGAGATAGGTGCCGCGGTGCTGCCCTACGTAACTTTGATCGGCGTAGTGTCCGAAAACTATAGGCCTTTCAAATGCGTCATGCTGTGATGAGCTCACTCATCACCAACTATCAAGTTAATCTCGGATGCTGTCAGTCAAACAGAAGAGGTCCAACGTGACTGACATGTACACAGATAGGATCGCTCTGGCTCAGACTAATGGCGTTCAACGCTTAGCCAGGCTATCGGAGACGTGCCGCGCGGGTTGCCTGTACCTTTGTTCGCGTCCATGCCGTTCGTCGGCAATTGCCCTGAACCGAGCCGCCTCTAAGACAGCAGTGGCTTTTCTATGTCTCACTCGAGTCCAAAGGACGGCTTGAGCTCCATATCATGAACCTTCCTATGAAGGCTGAGCCGCTGTCCTGCATCGTCCTCACCTGCCTGCGTCCTTCACCGGTTGCCTTCCTGCACGAAGAGCCAGTACCCTCTGTTGGCTTCGAAGCCAGGATGGCTCAAACTCGAAAATTTGCATGCACAACGGAGGTAGATGAGCCTATCTCTGCTTCGTCTAGATCTAACCATCGCAGGAACGGAGAGTGGTCGCCATCGAACGGAAACTAAGAAAGGGACCTTGCATATCTTTCCAGGCGAGGGTTGTGGATAGCAATGGTCCGGACACGAAGCTGGAGCACATGCTCACGTTCAGCGAGGAAGAATTTAGATCCTTGAAAGGTGCCGAGGCCGCCCTGGAAGCATTTCATGGGGAAACAAGACAGCAGATGAGGATGATGATGGATGTTGCATCTATTTTGGGTGGTTTCCATCATACATCGGATCTTGGCTCACGCATTTCCTACCTCAAGAGCGCAGTCTTGCCTTTGAATGCGCTGGCGCTGCTTCGCCTGCAACCATTCCTCCTGCCACAATCAACACCAACACGGAACTACTCGTCCTTGGGAATAACGTGGCTCCTTACCCACCTCGTACGTTGCTCCTACTCATATCGACCATCCGAGCATGGTCGTAGTGATCTTGACTGTAGCTATCTAGCACAGAATTCTGACCTAGCACAGGAAATCATGTACAAAGAAGACCAGAAGATCAAATCTCTACGCTGAGCGACACTACCACCGATCTGAACTCATCTACGAGTCCACCACGAAGCACAACAGCGTTTGCTATCCTAAGCCCTACTTCTGAGACGCCACTTGTGCGCACCGCTCCATCAGATGACTCCTCTTCACGCACAGTTGCTTCGGGCTTACTCGTGCCTCCCAGGGGGTGTGGCATGTGTGGAAAAATATTCCACCGTCAACACCTCTTTGATTTCCACCAGGAGGAACATGGAAGGCAAAATCTAATGCAGGAAGCGACAACAGATCGAACATCTAAGTCCAGCCACATTATCAGTGTCCCATCGTCTGCGGCATCACACGCCTCTTCCGAGACATTCGTGCAGGAGCGTCAGCCGTGGGACCACTTCCCTCGGCGTCCAACTCCTGACGTTACACCACAGTCAAAGAAAGCGGCAGATGCCTCTCTATTTGTTAACGTCCGCGACGTACTCTGGATTGATTTTGTGGACGCAACTGTACAAGGGGTTTACGGGATGAGGGTTCTCGTACGCACCATCTCCGATACAGTTCAGCTTATGCCAGCGGTAAGTTTCCCTACGCTTGTTGGACAAGAGAGTACTACGGAACAGGTAGAAGATATTATGGGTAGTCATGCTTACAGTGGAGCACTACGCCTGCAAGAGACGGGCCGTTACATGCTACTGTGTTCATTTTGGATCAACCATCTCTAACTTGAAGATCTTGTACCTGAGGAAGTTGACCGCCGTTTGCTGGAGTCAGGCAAAAAGTGTCCGCCCACCTGTCTGCGTACCTTTAGCCCTACATGAGGAGAGTGATTGATTTATCTGAGTCATCCTTATAGGCAGCCATGTAATACAACTCTTTTCTTCTTAGCATGATTATGTCCACAAACGTCTGGCCACATCAGAAGAAATCCTGCCCATCAACATGCACCGGTCGTTTCTTGTGCAGCTATGCATACAGCACTAATTCTTTGACATATCTGGCCGACCGGGGCGGCCTTAGCTAGGGAGCTCTTCCTTGGTGTCAATTAGGTTTACGATGAGCACTGGAAGACTTCCTGTAATTGGCTGTGGTCTGTGCTACGCGAACAATCCATATGCCTAAATGCGACCACCTATCGAAGCAGTTCGTGACATGGATAGTTTCTATAAAGAAAGGCCGCCTTATCGCGATGATCATCCCAGATGCTGACCTGTCTGGTTAATCTGATGCGCAAGCGGGAAGAGCTGCTTTGGTTCAGAATGCACGCCGGGGTGAATATTGTTAAGCTGCTCTCTCACCGCTAGTTCATGCACTGCTAGTAGCCCACGTATGTCAACCTAGACCGGGGCCAGTATTGCCCTCGAAGCCACCTGAGAAATCGATTGGCGGTGAAAGAGTGCCCAGGCATGGTTCGTTGTGTTGGTCGGTGTTTATATCGTACTATGCATGCAAGAACGCTGCAAGTAGTTTCAATGTGGCAGTTTGATGTGGAAGAAACGGCACAAAGGGATTAGCTTGATGAAGACGTATGGTAGTTGTGGAGTTGGACATGGCTCCACTCGAGAAGCGGTTTTGCATGATAAAAGCAACTATTTCTCCTGTAATAAGAAGCCTGGGAATTATCTATTTCCTTGGCTTCGCCGCAATCTATATCTTGGTTTACCGTTCCACTTTCAAAGCATCTCCTTCCGCAATTTATCGCCTCCATCATGCTTAGAACCTTCTCGAATTATTTCAATCCGCCCGATGACACAATCAAATCCGCTCGAGACTGGCTATATCGGCCTCCAATATCGGCAAACTTCCTTATATTTCTACATGGTTTGGAGAAAGTCGACATCGCCGTAACGATTCCGTTTCGTATTGTCTAGGCATGGGCGTGTGAAGAGGAGAACAAGGAGGACATTGTTTACATCGAAGCGATATTGCCCGAAAAGACAGAAGTATTTCCTGAGGTTCATGTTATGGAGAAAACCGACACTGTGGAGGGTAAGCACAAGCTTACACGTTTCCTCGTCTGTTTTGAAGACTACAAGCAACTTATAATGCGACAGAAGCATCAGCTTGGTCTGTCTCGACTCCACTTAGTAGAGCGCCGTTAACAGAGAGCAGAGCACGAGTGCCAGGGACTGGATGCCATCAATCAGGCCATTATTGGTCGCATGGACCAGGACCATTTCAAGTCCTACACTACCAACATGCCCAAAGAAATGCATGACCAGCTCAAAAAAATTCATCTGGAAAACGGTCTGTTACTCAACTCCGATAACACTGACGAAAAAGGATTGATCAAACTGATCGGGCATCACCGGAACGGAAATCTTAGAGCGTAGGAGGTTTCAGGACATCGCCTTTAATAGATGGACGTAGATACGATATCCAATTGATCTTTCTTCATTTGATGAACATTTGATCCAGGATCGATCCTCACTACTTAATCTGAAATGACATGATATACGTAGTACGTGTCTCAGGACTTTCTTCTGGAACTAAACTATCAACTCGCGCCCAGAACTTGTCGAGGCGATACCAAGTGAGTTTTGATCTAGTATATGTTCAGTTAGAGGTAGCGGGCCGTCTCAGATATGGTGAGGATGGTGAGGATGGTGAGGACGGTTTAGTCTACTGCGCTGGTAGTTTATAGGGGACTGTTGCAAGGTGCATGTGGAGGTTGACTCGTGTCAAGTCATTTGATAATAGCCATACAACTATATGTGCAAGAAAGCATGTGAGAAGTATTACCTAGATTGTCCTTTCCGTCTGACGTAACCTCATCCAGCCCAAAGTTATTCTAAGTGCCAAGAGGCCAGTGTCTAAAATCATATGCAAAGCAACCCTAACACCCTCTGTCCTACCTGTCAGCTCTTCCAACCGACCGGAATGGCGAAGACCCAGGGTGATGGATGTTTAGAGACGCTTGGCCCTTACTCTGTCTTCAAGCATTCTGTGAATCGAATCCCCCGTGAGAAAGGGATGCCCTGCACTTGTTGTAGCAGAGCTCGACCAAAGCGATTATATATGTGTGAGAAATGCGGCAAGACATGGTGCGATGAGTGCTAGGCGAAGACCGTTGAGCAGGTAAGACTACAATCGTGTCTCATCGGGATCGAAGCTAATATATATGCTAGTATCGAGAAGAAGGCATATCCATTGTGAAACGCCGAAGAACCTGGGCTCAAAATGAAGAGTAGCTGCCAATATAATTGGAGCGCGACCTCAAAAAGCAATTCATCAGAGATCAAAAGACCATACGATGACCTCGGAACTGCTTCAGCAATATTCTCGTATAGTAGTTTGCTTGCAGCAACTACGTGAGATCATCAATAGCATATTTATATTTGTTCGACCTACGAGCATCATATTATGACAAATGTGCTTCTCATTTTTTGGTCCTACATAGAGACACTGAAGCGTGAGCAGGGAGTAGCGGTTTGCCGAAAGTCGCTCCATGTAGTTACGTGGATCTTACCGTCTTTCCAAAGGTAGTTTCATGTACGTATTTTGAATTCGAGCTGAAAGTCTCGCGATCTAAAAAGGCGATCGACACGACCATCCATGCGCTAAGATAGACAGGGGTTAACCGCCCAGGGCTTGAAGTCAATATACATACCATAGGTAAGCTCGATGCCCTCCGTTTTGTCTTATTCCCACATCAAGTATGGCCTTGTCCAGGATGCTTGATTTTGCCTCGATGTTATCGCTGGACGACGCGCAACCTGATCATCATCAGATTATCGCAAGTCACATTGGGAGATTCT